TAAGGGACAGGAGGAGAGGAGAGAGAGTAAGCACTTCCCCTTCTCCCAGGAGGGAGATGGTGACAAGGGGGAGGTGAGAGTTATATTAGTCCATTTTCATGCTGCCCATAAAGACATACCTGAGATGGAGCAATTTATATAGGAAAAAGGTTTAATTGGACTTACAGTTCCATGTGGCTGGGGAAGCCTCACAATCATGGTGGAAGGCAAGGAGGAGAAAGTCACATCTTACATGGATGGCAGCAGGCAAAGAAAGAGCTTGTGCAGGGAGATAACCTCCCAGCGGATCCCTCCTATAACACTTGGGAATCCAAGATGGGATTTGGGTGGGGACACAGTCAAACTATATGAAGAGTCTAGTTCAGGACCTTGAAGAACACTTATTTTGCAGGTTTAGGAATCATGCAGTATCATGGAACTCAGGGAAAAAAGGAGATTCAGGAAGAAAAGAAGGAGGTCAGTTGTTCCAGGCTGGGATGTTGAGGAGAAAAGGATTATATTTAGCTGTGGATTTACTATATAATAGTAAAAATGGAAAAAATTCACATATATCACAATAGAGAATTGTTTTATAAACATTTGTTGAATTATAATGTAACATCAAAAATTATGCTCAAGAAGTTTAAAAAGACATGAAAAAAGGCACAAAATATGACATTTAAATAAAAACAATTCAAAGTAAATATATATATAACTGATTGTTTTTAAAAAAGCATTATTATAAGTGTATTCACTGCCTCTTTCTCTTTCCTTCCTTGATCTCTACAGAAAATTCAGATTTGTTTATTCTCACTGGAGTCCCTTGAACTCTAGTATTTCTATGGAGGTCACTGTTATATGTGTGTCTCCCAGCCAAAGTGGGTAGAAGATCTATAGTGCAGGTGTCATTTTCTAGAGGAAGAATGTAGGCAGAGGAAGAGAGAGAAGCCAACAATCAATGATGGCAAGGCATGAAGAGCTTGGAGAAGGTGAGAGGTCAGGTGAGAGAAGACAGATGTGAGAGGGTTGGAGTCTGGGAAAAACTGGGGAAAGGCAATTTTAAAAAGTATTGCTGTGGGTCATATATTGGATACTCTTTAATGTTTTCAGGAAAAGCAAGTTAAGATTAACATTATTTTATTTTTCTCTTTTTTTTTTTTTTTTTTTTTTAGAGATAGGGTTTTGCACTGTTGCCTAGGTTGGAGTGCAGTGGCATGACCAGGTCTCACTGCAGCCCTGACCTCCCAGGCTCAAGTAGTCCTCCCACCTCAGCCTCCTGAGTACCTGGGACTACAGGTGCTTGCCACCATGCTTGGCTAAGTTTTTCACTTTTTTTAATAGAGCTAGGGTCTTGCTATGTTGCCAAGGCTGGTCTCAAACTCCTGGACTCAAGTGAACCTCTCATATTGGCCTCTCAAATTGCTAGGATTAATGGCATGAACCACTGTGCCTGGCCAGATATTATGTTAAATTACTTTTGGTTACTGGCTAGATGGGACCCTAGGAATTATTTATTTACATATATGTACAAAAAGAAAAGACTTGAAAGAACCAAAAATATTAGAAGTTGTTAACTCTGTGTTAGTGGAATTACTGGGCACTGACACTTCCATGTAAGTTTTAAATAAAAAAATGTATTAATTAGAGAGTGATGCACTATTGTGTAAAGAAGGTATATATGTTTTCAATAGAGTTGTCTGGGCAGGCCGAATTGCATAGGGTTAAAGAGTGAATGGGGGTGATAAAGTGGCTTTAGATTATTTTCTCAAGAAGTCTGGCTGTGAATAGGAGAGTCTTGGGCAAGAGAGCTAGGAAAATCCAAGACATTTGTGGAGGGAAGGGGATTTCAGGATAGCAACACCTGGAAAGTCTGACAAATTAGCCAGCAAATATCCTATAAGGGTGTATTGTTTTGAAAGATTTTTTTATAATTTGCATGCACTGGAGACAGAAGGCATTTTATGATATAATCTTTAATTAGCTTTGAGGTATTTCTTATTTGGTCCAAATTATACTGGTTAAGAACCAAGAGGTAATTCTCTCAGCTGGGTCTTAACTGGGTCAAGAAACTGACTTTCAAACAATCAAGAGGTTAGAGATGCAATAATAATAAAACATAAATTTTAAAGGCCCGTTAAAGAGAAATGCTAATTCAGGAATTCTAGCTGAAATCTGTAAAATCATGGTTAAATTGGATGTAGATTAGTTCATTAAATTCTGAGACTTCAGAAATTAGAGACAGATATATAAAATTAGGTATATGTCTTATGTGAGATATTAATGAATTGAATTTATGTCCTCAGGCTGAATTTAAATACACTCAAAAAGAGGTTGCATTAATTCTTGGATAATGAATTAAATATACACTAAAGAAAATGAAGGCTTTAGGGGGAGCAGTCCCCAGTCTTCCTGAGATGGTATCAAGGATAAGAGTGATAAAATTCCCTGCCTATAAACTTTTCTTGTAATTCCTCATTTAGTTAACTTCATATACATAGTTACTATACCCATATTACCTGAACCCACAAGAGACTCAAGAATGAGGTAAAGTCAGGGTCCCCAGGTTGGTTGTACAAGCTGTGCCCTGCACAAGGGCCTTGTCCAACTGAAGGGGAAATGGACAGGAGCTGAATGCCTAGCATGTGTCCCTGTGTGTGGCAGACTGAGTCTGAGGGGTTGGGGGTTAGAATAGGGGCTGCATTTTGAAATTTGCTTAAAGGCAATAGATAGGCCAGCTGGGTACCAGGGAGGATGTCTACTTTATGCATTAAACTTCACACAAGTTTAAGAGTCAATTATTTAGACAAAATATCTTAGTTTCAAAATGGCTATGAGGTAGATAACATTTGAAATACTAATTCACATTTTTCTACCCTGAAAGGCTCCCTCCCTTCCTGTCCCTCGTAGAAAGGGGTGGTAGCATTCAAGCAGATGCTTATTTCTTTGAGATTTCCATAATTAAGACAAGAGAGAGAACTGCGCAGGAAACCAAAGGCATCTCTAAATTATTTTGACTTTTGTTTTTATAAAAGGTCTAAGCACTTAGGGGAGGGAGATTTGCAGGTATAGACAAAATGTCTTGGTAAACAAAGGGGAAACAGGAGATTTCCTTGGGCTGTGGAAAGTAGGGGTGGGGAGAGAGGGAGGGGGAAGGAGACAGAGAGAGAAAGAGGGAGGGAAGGAGAGCAGAAGACAACTTCAGAATAAAAAATACTATAAAATGAAAAAATAAATTTACCTGAATAATGTAAATTCAGGTAATATAAACAGCTGTATCAGAATCATAGTTCTTGCCTGTCATATCCCAGGCATTGTACAAAGCAGGTTCACACCTATTCTCTTACAATCTTCACAATAGCACCACAAGGCAGATGTTATCATCCCATTTTACAGTTGAAACATCATAGCTTAAGACACAGCTAGTAAGTAGAGGGGCAGGGATGCAAACCTAGGTCTGTTTTTCTTCCTGCTCTATATACCTGTTATCAAAACTCAGGGACAAAGGCAATACACTGGGGTTCTCAAGAGGTTAAAAAACTGAGAACTCAGTCCATTATAGCATTGGGTCTATCTCATTGCTATAGTACTGGTTCTGTCTCATTCTATCTTATATACTCTGCAAGCAGAGTGTATAATACTGATAACCAGAGAAAAAGCCCACTATTACTAGACTAAAAGGAGGAAGCTCCTAGAAAAAGAATGGAAGCCCTAGGTTTAAAGAGAATGTGACAGTGATCTGTGACACAATAGACACAATAGACTTACATCATTCAGCTCAGACAGCAAGACTCTCACCCCATGCCAGATATCAAAGGCCTCTCTTCAAAGATGTCAGTATTAAATGTGTTTTCTATATTTCATGGTAAGTTTAGATTAACAGAAAAAAACTTAAGAGCACGTAGACATTTTGACCAACATATATAATTTCTACTCAGCCAACTTACCTGAGCAGTTCTACTAAGTCCGAACTACTACTGTGCCCATTAGGCTAGAAAGATACAAACTGAAGCACGTGCACGTGCACGTGCACGTGTGCGCACAAGAGCGCGCGCACACACACACACACACACACACACTGTTAATCAAGTTTATCCTAAAGCTGCCTCCTTACATATTTTAAGTTCTGCCTAAAGGTTTCTACATACATAATGAACCATAACCTAATTGGATGTGTAACCTACTCTTGTGCCAATCATTGTGACCAACAGTTAAAACTCAGTTCAAGTAAGTAAAATGCCAAGCTGCAACTAATGCAGCTATTTCTGTACCTCATTTCTGTTTTCCATACATCACTTTCCTTCTGCTGTCCATAAATTGTCTTCTATTAGTGTCTGTGCTGGAGTCTCTCAGAACCTATCCTGGCTCACATAGAACAATTCATGAATTGTCCTTTGCCTAATTAAACTCTGTTAAATTAGATTTGTCTAAGGTTTTTCTTTTAACAATATGCATAAACATAATCAATCAATCAGTTCCAAAATTCCCACCTGATATGGTTTGGCTGTGTCTCCACCCAAATCTCATCTTGAATTATAGTTCCCATAATTCTTGTGTGTTATGGGAGGGTCCTCCCTGGTAGGAGGTAATTGAATCATGGGGATGGTTACCCTTATGCTGTTCTCATGATAGTGAGTTCTCACAGGAGATGATGGTTTTATAAGGGGATTTTCCCATTTTTGTTTAACATTTCTTTCTCCTGCTGTCATGTGAAGAAGGATGTGTTTGCTTCCTCTTCTGCCATAATTGTAAGTTTCTTGAGGCCTCCCAGCCATGCAGAACTGTGAGTCAATTAAAAATATTTCCTTTATAAATTACCCAGTCTTAGGTATTTCTTTATAGCAGTATGAGAATGGACTAATATAGCACCCAAGTTTGAGCAGAAAATAGACACACTTTAGCATTTATTAAAATAATACTAAAAAAAGCTATCTAAGTTTTTCAAAGACTATGGTATTCTGTTTAGGTATTTCTATTCAAGGCTTTGGGTATATGATATGCTTCAATTCACAGGACCAGGTTACCTGGTTAGGATCAGGATCAACTTCATCCCAGTTGTGAGTGACATGGCCTTCATCAATGGATTCAAAGGGCTTGTGAGAAACTGAAGGTAGAATCCTATACAGCCAGCTAGAGGAAAAAAACATACAAGATGTACAAGCCTTAAAGTAATGTTCTGAGTGATACACAGAATGGCTGAGGCAGTACCATCAGGAAGACACTCAAGTCAACGACGACCTGTCAAGTCAACGAAGACACTCAAGTCACATTAGACCTGGGCTCTAATGTGTGAAGCAGTGAAGCAATGTCACGGCATCACTTTTTAATGGCCATCTGCTGTCCACACCCCTGGCCTCTTCTCACCTTTTCACTGCCCCCATCATGCTTCAAATGGACTCTGGTTCATTGTTATTCCCATGCTGCCAAAAAATGAAGAACTGTCTTTTCTAACAACTATAAAGGAACAGGGAATACCTTGAGAGATATCTGTGTAGGAAAATCAGTAGAAAAACATTAGCTTATGGATATCATAGGATACTAGTCCTTGCTCTGGAAGGCAAAAACAATGAGTTCTATGTCGCTTGAGACAATATAGACGGTATCTTTGTTATTTTTGAAATAATAAATCAATTTTCTCCTTTAAAATTATGAAAGTAACACATGACAATGGTAAAAATAATTCAAGTAATTTAAAAAGTCCTGAAACGTAAAGGGCTCCTTTTCCTCCAGTTTCTTCAGGGCTATTCCTCAGAAGCATCAGAGCTTAATGATATTTTAAAAATATATATTCTTCCAGATATATCCAATACATTTATTTCTAAGTAAAATTGCCAGATCATTTAAACACTTTATTACCATAAAAATAATAGGTGAGAGTGCCTGGTCACACACATCTTCACAAATCTGGAATATTATTAATTTTAGTGTTTTAGGTGGAAAATAGTATCTCATTTTATTTTGCATTTATTATGAGTTAGGAAATACAAAATATTTCCCAAAAAAATAGTCTATTCATTTGTTTATTGGCTCTTTGTAGTTTTTCTATGAATTACTTGTAAAAGTCCCTTGTCATTTTCCATTGAGTTTATTTGTCTTTTTGATATTAATTTGTAAGAGAAAAAAGATGCTGGAGAGGCTGTGGAGAGATACGAATGCTTTTACACTGTTGGTGGGAATGTAAATTAGTGCAACGATTATAGAAGGCAGCGTGGTGATTCCTCAAAGACTCACAATGAGAAATAGCATTTGATCCAGCAATCTCACTACTGGGTATATACCCAAAGGAATATAAATCATTCTATTATGAAGATATATGCACACATATGTTTACTGCAGCATTATTCACAATAGCTAAGACATGGAATCAACCCAAATGCCCATCAATGATACACTGGATAAAAAAAATGTGGTGCATATACACCATGGAATACTATGTAGCCATATAAAAAATGAGATCATGTCCTTTGCAGGGACATGGATGGAACTAGAAGCCATAAGCAGGAACAGAAAACCAAATACCACATGTTCTACTTATAAGTGGGAGCTGAACAATGAATACATGGACACAGGGAGGGCAATAACACACACTGGGGCCTGCTGGGGGGTGGGAGTTGGGGGAGGGAGAGCATCAGGAAAAAATGGCTAATGTATGCTGGACTTAATACTTAGGTGATGGGTTGATAGGTGCAGCAAACCACCACGGCACATGTTTACCTATGTAACAAACCTGCACATATACCCTGGAACTTAAAAATAAATTAACACTTCTGTACTCCAAAATTAGAAGAGTGTGTGTTCATGTTTTACTGTGGTACATTTATGGCTCTATTTGTTTTTCTTTCTGTTCTTTTTAAAGCATGTCCTCTCTACCAGGACCAGATCTCAGGCTTCAAGAAGGGAAGAAGACTCTGACAAAGGAATTCTAAAGGACACCAGGATGAGAACCTTCTAGAAGTTGGAAGGGACACTGAAACTCACTAAGAGGGACCTAAGTCCTTTCAAAGGCTACTACCCTGACAAAATACAGATGGACAATGGAAGATCAGACCTGAATCAACAGGCTTTGGCCCTTTTGAGCCCAAGGACAGTCTATCTCAGTGGGTTGACTTGGCCTGGCCCAGTGCTGAGCCATCTGGGGGAAAAAGGGCTAGATATGTTTAGTTTCCATTTGGTTCCTCCATTTCTTGATGATATGACCTCAGGCCTTGGTCTTACTAAGCCTCTCCAGCTCCCAGTATATGAAGTTCAGGGCATATGTATATGTCTTGGAATCAGCTGTGTGATCCTGGGAGAGTTACTAAACTTTCTGGACCTTATGTTCTTCGTCCTTGTCTTCTAAGATTGTTGTGAGAACTCAAAGAGTTTGTGAACCGAAAACGCCTGGCATACAATAGATGCTCGCTTATTAGATGCTTAATTGCCTTTCTTCTCTTAATTGTCCGAATTTTATCACAGTCCAGATTATCCACATTCTCTGACTCTTGCCTTTTCAAGACTCAAGGGATCAATCAGCTAGCTAATCTGATAAATATAAATCCTAGGTAGGCAGGCAGGCAGGCAGGTAGTTAGGTAGGTAGGTAGGTAGACTCTATAATAGTTTTGTGGTGGCCCTGCATGCTGTGGTTCAAATGAGTAGTAACTAGGAATTTCAGGCGGGCCTACTTATGGATAGGACTGGTCCCATCTTCCCACTGGAGATTTTGAGTGGGAAGAATTTCCACAAAATTTTTGTGGGTATCTTTGAAGTGTTTTTCTAAATAGATGGGTGAGCCATACCTAGCGTCCCTTATTTTTTAGCTGAGTTTATAATACTCCCCAGGCAGCACTACATTGCCCTGAACAGGGATTTAATTCTGATTCAGGGAACAGTGCCAGCTTCTTAATGAAATGCCAACAGCTCTTTTTCAGCCTCCTGGAACAGAGCTCAGCTCCTGCTGGCTGAAGGTATTGCTGAATAATGGGGACAGGCAGCAGAATCCGGAGACCAGGTGGCCTGTTAGGGAATGGGCCATAAAGTCAAGAACATAGTCATAGAGGCCAGGTTGTCATAAATTAGAATGGACAGAATTGTCTGTGTGCTTACCTTACCCCGTCTATTTGGGCTGAGAGAGAGAAAGAGTGAGAGAAAGAGAGAGAGAGAGAGATTGATTGATTATTATATAGCAATGGAATTATCCCAATTTTTGACAGGCTTAGAAAACTTTCTCTATTTCGTCCTCTTTCCACACACATATCTATTGAGAGAAAAGCACTGTTATACTGACATTGTAACATAGCACCTGCCATATATCATGCACAGATCTCTTGACAGCCTCCTCAAGATACCCTGGAAATGAGGCAGAAACTCTGCCATGATGGCAATACTTAATGATGATTATTATGACAATAACTAGCATTAACTGATCACTAACCATGTGCCTTGCAATGTGCAGTTTATACACATTCTCTCTTTTAATCCTCACCACAGATATGAAATAAGTACTATTATTATCTTTGTTTTATGAATGAAGAACTAGAGGATCCAAAAAGGCAGATGATTTGCCCAAGATTTGAAAAAGAGGAGCCAGGATTTATACTCAGGGGGCCTGCCTCCAGGGTGGCCATGATTACCTGTGCAATCTTAATCATTTGTGTGGTCCACTATAGTTTTGTACTTACTATCTCATTTGCTTCTCAGAAGGACCTGTGGTGATAAACTCAGGCCACCCTGCTAAGCAGTACAAGAAGACCACATGCCCTTCTCCCCAAATCTCTAACATCAGCAGCATTCCTCTTCACAAATGCCTTAGCCTAAACTTTCTATAATTAGATACTATTTATTTAAATCACAACACTTACTGCCTCTTAAAACTACAATGCATACTGCATCCAACCTGCCTGATATGAGTCAATCAAGGGATCATGTTCATTGACCCGGATGTAGGATTAGAGCAAACATGGAACATGGCATACTATGTTAATGAATATGCTGGTTTCTAGCAAAGGCAAATTCTAGAGTAAAAACCTTATTAATTCAAACCACAATGGGCCATGATACATGACTTTTCAACTATCCAAGCTTGGAATACCCAACATTTTCTTGCAAAGAACATACCTCTAGTTAGCTGAGAAAGATATTGCTCTGAATCTTCCAGAGTTATGACTCAGTCATTATAAAACAAAGGAAAATCCCAAACCAAAACTCAACAGGACAGTCTTTAGAAGAAGGCCAAACTATTAGGAATATTTCATTCTGAGTATAGGAGATAATTTGTAAATGGAACTGGACATGTGTATTTTCCAGGCTCTGCACAGCTTTCCTTCACCTCCTTCCACCAGTCACTTGGTGCTAGCTAGCAGGAAGTCTATTCTCTCCTGACTAGGACCTAGACCAAAGCCTATAAGAAGCAGAATCTTGAGCAGCTCTAGGAGGCTGTGGCCCAGGGGAAGGAGGCAGCCCAAAGTCCCTGTCATAGTTCCCACAGTCTGCAGGTCAGAATTCATCTAATCTTTGTACCTTCTCTTTTTTTTTTTGAGACGGAGTTTCGCCCTTGTTACCCAGGCTGGAGTGCAATGGCACGATCTCGGCTCACCGCAACCTCTGCCTCCTGGGTTCAGGCAATTCTCCTGCCTCAGCCTCCTGAGTAGCTGGGATTACAGGCACACACCACCATGCCCAGCTGAATTTTTGTATTTTTAGTAGAGACAGGGTTTCACCATGTTGACCAGGATGGTCTCGATCTCTTGACCTCGTGATCCACCTGCCTCAGCCTCCCAAAGTGCTGGGATTACAGGCGTGAGCCACAGCACCCGGCCTTCTTTGTACCTTCTCTTATTGGTGCTCCGTGGACAAGTGAAAGCCGATCCTGAGAGCTGCTCAGCATACAGATTGTAGGGGCAGACCTGAGGATTATTCTGAAACAAAGGATGCAACAAACAATATTACTCTCATCTGAAAAACATCACACCTTCCCACCAACTAACTCTGTAGGGGAATGGGGATGCTCTGGGCCACTGCACATGATCATCTCCAACTCAATATGTTTCTTGTAACAACTTTTGATGTGACTTGCCCCCTTGATTATAAAAGTAATATATACTTATTGTAGAAAATTTATAAACTATATCACCCATTATCTCACAACCAGAAATAACCCAGTGTTAACATGTTTGTATTTTTTCTTGCATTCTTATCCTCCAAAATTGTGACCCTATGATACCTGTAATCCTATAATAATCAGGCATTTTTTTCTTTTAAAGAAAACAAACATTATATCATGAGGACTTTTATGCCATGATACAGTCTTCAAAAGTTTTGAAAATATTTTTGTTTGCTGTGTTGTTGCTATTCTAGCCAGCACTAGTATGAACATCTTTGTGCATACATATTAAAGCACCTTGTTATTTTCTCGTAATTGTCACATCTTATGGTGTTCAAGGGGAATATGAGGAATTCTCTTTAACCCTAGATTTCGGGGATCCTACTGGAAACCCTACAGTTAATTTTACTAGTTTGGGTTGGCTGCTGTGCCACCAATCCAATTTTAATCTTTGTATTGTCATTGCACTGTATCTATATTGCCCCTATGACTTGGGAAACCCCTAGACAGTTCACAGGCTAGATTAGAAGAGCCACAGTGGGTGGAGGCACTTTGGCCTAAAAGCTAGTCATCCAGGAATAGGATTCAGAGCTCTTCTAAGCACTTTATTTGCTCGTACCTGTCCTTCTGGCAAGGAACCTGGGCAGCGAGGGTCCTCTGAAGTACACTCATTCCCAAATCCAGAAAGGTACTGTATGTGACAAAGACACAAATGCCACCATTAGTAGGATTTAAAGAACACTGGCAGTCTACAAAGGTAAGAATTTCTATATGGACACACATGTGTATATGATGTTCCACATATAATATCTTTACTGTGTCTTAACATATGACTCAGGAAAGAGAATATGCTTTCTGTAAATATTAGACTTCTAATTAATCAGAAGAGTGCTGTATATTCCAATTAATCAGAAGAGTGCTTCTCCACCCTTAGCTGTACTTAGTTGATTTATGCATCTACACTGAACCTCCCTAAACTTGAGACTCCATTTCCCCTTCAAACTCTGGAAAAAAAAAAAAAAAGAACAACAACAAAAAAACATTTAGGAAGACGTGTGGATCCAATCCCAACAGCAAAACCCTCTCCAAACTAGTCTGGCTGCAGGCAGAAGCCTTTGCTATCTGCCTCATCTATGGAACACATCTATATTTGTATGAATGCATGCAAATAAAGTTTAAAGATATGGGTGTCCTTTAGGAGATTTGCCAGCGCAGAATTGTTTCACAATGACACAATGGAACCTACTCGGATTGCCATCTCTTCACTTTACACCCAGAGGGAGGGAAAAAAAAGTTAAGGGTTTCTCAACAGGTAAGTCATGCAGAGCCCCTGAAACTTACTCTTGCAACACTCAACACACTTGCGAGTTCTTGTGCACTGTCTGGCTCTTTGTTAGCCTACAAGCTGCATGAAGGCTGGGACTATGGCAGTCTTAGCTCATAGAAGGTACTCAGTGGAAATCTGTTGATTGATTTTTTTCACTTAAAGCCAATTCTAATGTAAGTGTATGTGTGCTGCCGTAAATAGGGTTAGAACTCTCTTTGCTCTAACTTAAATACCAATTGATTTTAGCCCAGGATAATGAAAGTGCAGTCTTTCTCAGCAAATAAAATGCCACCATCTGAACACATCTCCTAAAGAGATATAAGAAGGATGGAAGTGAGTGAAGGGTAGGCCCTCCGGAGTTCTCAGCAGCATGGAGATATAACACGCCTGGATGTGTGTGATGATTAGGTCAACAACGGTCTATATTTGAACAAAGTGAAGGCACTGTGGCTTCCATCACAGGCTGGTCTCAAATTCCATTTCACAGAATTGAAGATAATTTGGGGTTATTACCAATTCTCAGCAGAAATATCAGACGTGAAAGTTATGACCTAGAAAGCAATGGAGGTGAAATTATTCTTTTTGCCTTCAGATATAATATTTTGTATATTTGAAAATTTGTCATCACAAAAAAATATTAAGGTATATACTGATTTGTTAAAAGCAGCGGCATGCAGTTAGGATGATATCTTTGGGGAAATGGCAGACACTATCCAGCATTCTGATTCTCTGCTGCATCTAATTTTCTCCTTCTAAACTGAACCCCATGCTCACCATCAACGGGATTGAATTTGAGCTGCTGAGAATTGGTAATAACCCCAAATTATCTTCAATTCTGTGAAATGGAATTTGAGGCCAGCTTGTGATGGAAGCCACAGTGCCTTCACTTTGTTCAACTGCCACTTTATTTCTCTCTGCAAGAGATGAAGGCTGGAGTACAGCTGAACTTTCTGGCAGGTACCCGTGGATTTACACATTAACCTTCCCCATTCTTTGTAACTGCTGGCCTCAAAAGAGAGTTCAGGGTTATGCGTTTGGAACAAGAGTTAGTATATATGTTTCTGAAGTATTTGATTCAGACTGTGCTTTAAAAAATAGAAAAGAAAGTAGGAAGAACAGCTGGTGGTTTGGAAGGAAGCCACCAAGCACTGCGAGGTGCGAGTTCTGAATCTGTTTCTCAATCTTAGCTGCAGTGCATTGGCTAAGGAGGAATGTGAAAACTGCTGAGTCACTATCAAAATCAATTGGTTTTTCCAATTCCCCTGAGAGAAAAATTACAGATGAGTTTATTACAGCTTTAAAATGCCATGTCCCTCACTGCTGAAGGCATCTGAATTAAGGAAGTAGTAATTGCAGCTGCTTTCTTCAGACATTGAGCTCAAGGACAGAATCTCAACTCTGTTTTTATCAGCTGGGAAAATCCAAGCATTCATTTCCAGCTGGTTCAGTGCCTATGCAAAAGTATATCGTGTACAAAAATAAAATTAAAAAGCTAACATTAAGCATGTTTTCTACAGTTTGGATTTCTGAATAATTTGATCCGACAGAAAATTTTTTTTTTCAGGAGAATTATGTGCATACTTTCTAAATGCAAGATAAATTCCTGAGCTCCATGTGACTTCAGTACCACCAGTTCTTTGGCAGCTTACGAGTATACAGCTTTTTAATTCTCACCTGGTCCCCAGGATATGGTTTACTTGTCAGAGTAGTTTTATGAGGTGCTTTCTCCTCACTCTGATTCTAGGTAACACCTGATGAGATGGACAGATGGTGCACCTCACTTCCTCTTTCTGGGCATGAAGGAAAGAGAGAGAAGTCAGGGTAGAGCTACTGCTACTGTATGTGTGTGTGTTTGTAGAAAAGGAGTCTAATATTTCTAGTTAACCTTGATGGGAACGTAGAATATAGATTGTGAAGGGAACTTGTATATTACCGCAGTAGGCTGAATAATGGCTCTGAAAGATATGTATGGCTTAATCCCTGAAACCTGTATTACCTTTTCTAGCCAAACAGACTTTTGCAGATGTGATGAAGGATCTTGGAATGGGGAGATATCCTAATTATTTGGGTGTATCCTAAATGTAATCACAAGTATCATTATAAGAGGGAGGCAAAGGGAGATTTGGCTTCTAAGAGGGGAAAAGGTGATGCGATTACAGAAGCAGAGATACATTTTTTGAAGATAGAAGAGGCTACAAACCAAGGAATGTGGGTAGCCTCTAGAAGAAACAGAATCCATGGAAAAGGCAGGGAAACACAATCTCCCATAGAGTCTCCAGAAGAAATTGTTCCTCTCTGCAAGAGAGGAAGGCAGGCTGGAGTACAGCTGAGCTTTCCAGCAGGCACCAGTGGATTTACTCATTAACCTTCCCCATTCTTTGTAACTGCTGGCCTCAGAAGAGAGTTCAGAGTTATGCGTTTGGAACAAGAGTTAGTATATATGTATTTGAAACTGGTTTCACTAGGCTAAAGTTAAGGTGTCAGCCACACCTTTTGTGTTGTTTTAAGCCAATAAATTTGGGGTAATTTTTTATAGCAGCAACAGGAAATCAGTTATGTAGAATAGTAGGTCCCATTTCTGGCTAATCATTAGAATCACTCCCGAAGCTTGTTATATACAGACTCAGAGCAAGTGAATCAAGGATTTGGTGGTGGGGCCAAAGCCTGCAAGTTAAGCAAGCTCTTCATTTTAGAAATGAGGAAACCAAGGTTGGGAGAAGCGAAGTAACTTACTCAAAAACATAGGGTATTACGTTTTAAATTTAATTTTATTATTTTATCTTTTGAATTTTCTTCCCCCAGCTTTACTTTTGTGTAAATGCGATTTCATTTATGGCTTTGTGTTGACATATTCATTAAAATGAAGAAATAAAAAATGAGAAACAGTTTTAAAAATTATATAATGTTTATTGATTAGAATGAATATGATGCAATCTGGTTTTCTGTGCTCAGATTCCTGACCTTTGGAGTTAACCTTTCCTTGTAAAAGATTAGACAGCAGGCTGGGAAGAATGCCTTTGAAACTGAGAGCAAAGACTTGCATGTAACTTACACTGATGTCCTGGTGATGTGCATAATAAGTTGCTTAAACATTACAGCAGGATAGGATTTTAGATATAATTTATTTATAAATGGTAAAGATGTTTCCAACCCCCACTGAACTTCCTCATAGAATGTTCATCAGAAAACAAAGTTTCTATCTACTCTTTCCTCCAAGACTTCAACTCCTACCATTGACATCATGACACTCAGATCTATTCCCCTAGCCCTGTCCACTCCCCTGAAATCCAGATCCATATATCCAACCACCATCTGGGTATCTCAATTTGGCTGTCCCTCCAACAACTCAAATTTTGCTGACACTGTTTTGGACTCTAGAACATTCAGGCATTCTGCATGTGCTGTGCCCTTGCACTCACTCTTCCCTTCAGACCCTATCCTTCTTCACTTGGCTGGTTCCAACTTCTCTCTTAAGATTCAGTTTAGGTACAGGCTCCTTTAGGAAGTTTCTTTTGACTTTGCCTATCTCAGACTCTGTTCCTCTACTACATTAATCTGTAGTATCATGCACTAGCACAAAATATTTGCTGAATTAAAGAATGAGAGTTAACTATCAGTCAGGCATAAAGATAAAAAACCAAAGTTCATTCCAGAGTTGAGTGTTTTCAGGATTCCTATCAATTAGGAAAGTGTTTGGTTATTCAAACTCAGAAACACCTCCCTTTAACTGATGGATTCTTCAAACTCAGCATCAGTTAGAGTGCATTAGGGCACTTCTCAAACCCTGCATTCTGGGAAGAAGTCTGATGGGGGGAGGTCTGGCCCACCTGCCCTGAGCCAAGGTTCTGGGCAGTGCTATTCAGTCACATATGCATGTGTTGGGCACTGATGCAAGACTGGGCTGGGCATTAGGCATAGTTTTAGACATTAGGGACATATTCTCTTTCCTTGCCTTAAGATACCGGTTTAGTAGGGGCCATTAAGACCCCTTTTTGAGCCTGGACTTTGCATTCAAACATAACCTAGTTGCAATCCAGTCATCTATTGGCAGTGACCTTGGGCAAATCATAGTCTCTCCAAGCTTTACTTTTCTAATTGATTAATAGAATCAAGAACCTCTCTCTATACCCCAGATTTATTTTAAAGATTATGAGTTAATTCATAGTTAAAATGCCTAGCATCTAATAGCACAAAACCCATACATACTTTTCAATTGTGTATTACTAAAAAGAAGGAATGATTTACTAGAGGACATGCTAGGGCTTTTACTGGTCAATGGCTGATTGATAGCCTCAATTAACTGAATAGATTAAGCATATCTAATTGGTGGCAGAAGTGGTCCAAGAAGCTGCAGCAATGGGAATGTGTCAGAGCAGGGGGTGGGAAAGAGACAGTGAGAAACGTGCATGTCTGTAGTGGAGGGGAGCTCTTAGGATGTCTACAGGTTTCCAAGACAATGATTGAAATAAAGACAAAAAATGACGAATAAGATCTTCATTTCTTTCCTTTATCACCTTTCCCTTGTTCCGCAGCCCCAGTTGTGCCCACAGACACCACAATGAAGCCTCTGAACACAGGGATTTGAACTAGGGCTTCTCCAAGTTCTTTTCAACTCTGACACCCTGGTGTTCTCAGAAGCTTCCATAAATTTTGGCCGAAGGAGCCACAGCAAATTTGTCAGATGATCTCTTACCTTTAACTTCCATAAATTTTGGCTGAAGAAGCCACAGGAAACTTGCCAGACGGTTTCTTACCTTTAATTCGGCCATTTTCTCTCTGCTCTATGTGTGATGACTTCAGGAAACGCAGGCCCAGAGGATACAAAGCCACAATGCTTCTTTCTCCTTCAAACCACTCTTTGGATATTCTGGTTTCCACTGCTTCACTGTGCTTCACTGTCAGTGAGTCACTCAAACCAGCTGGGAGAATTGCCTAACTCATATATAGGGACAAAGTCCAACAAGCTTATTTTTTAACTGCTTACACAAGTGCTTTGGTTTTTAAACAGTTTGTTCCTATGTGTTTGCAGAGGCCGGGCTCCTCTTCACTGAGGCAGATATTGACCAATTATTTGTTCAAGTTAAAAGGAAGCTTATTTCAAAAGGCATATAATTTGAAGCTATCAGGGAAAGGAACTGTGGCAGATAGTGCCTGCTCTGTGTGTTGGAGAGTTCTCTGTTGAGTTCTGACTCAGGCTAGAAAGGAACAGGCAGTGCTGAGTCTGGAGGGCAGTGAGAAAAACCCCTAGACATTTACCAGCTCCAGATGTTTACACTGGGGTAAGATGTTTACACACAGCCACTTGATGACAAGCACCAGGACCAGAACCACTCAGTTCTCTGCAGGTGCTTCCCAGGAATAAGCTCAGGTTCTTGGGTAAGTATTAGGCATAGTTTTAGACATTAGGGACATATTCTCTTTCCTTGCCTTAACATATCAGTTTAGAAGGAGCCACTAAGACCCCTTTTTGAGCCTGGACTTTGCATTCAAACATATCCTGGTTGTAATCCAGTCATCTACTAGCAGAACCTAAAGCCTTTCACTTAGAGCAAACTGAGGTGTTTCCTATTGCTCTTTTTAATTTCTTAAAGTACATTTAGTTTTCTTATAAACTCTTTAAGAGTTTTGTTTCCTAATGTTTTTACACTTCTAAAACAGACTAAGGGATTACTCTCCAGCCACCTCCTCTATGACTCCCTCATTATTCATCTTGGCTGCTCTCCTTGGTCATTGGCAGGTAAAGGGGAAAGGGGAAAACATATTGAGTGCCTGCTTTTGTCAGATTTTTCCATATCTAACTTCACAAAAAAAATCTTGTAAACTAGGCATTATCACAACTCAAATGCCAACAGACAAGGGAGGAAGTATAAATGAATAAAATAGGCTAGCTGATTTTTCAAGATAAGATGAAGCTCCAATTTTTAAACATTGGCAATTAGAATGAGAGAGAGTGAGAGAGAGAGAGACAGAGACAGACAGAGAGAGAGAGAGTGCGAGAGTGAGAGAGAGAGACAAAGAGAAACTAACCTGTGATAGATGGCAAAAAAAATGCCCAAATTCCTCCTATCCTTGTATATGTGCCCCTTTGAATGTGACTTTGCTGTTCCTCCCATCAAGAGGTAGGGTCTTTTTCTTTGGCCAATAGCAAACATGACACAGAGTTTGAAAAGTGCTTGTGACTTAAGACAGGTCCAATTCTTACAGCCAGAGACACTGTGCAAAGTAGCTGGGCTGGCCTCCAGAGATCAAGGCAACAGCGCTGCAAGCCCCACAGTGACTGCCAGACATGTGAATGAGGCAGTCTGGCTGCCAGGTGACTGCAGACACATGTGTGATCCCAGGCAAGACCAGCAGAAGAACCACCAGTTAAATCTGGGCCAAACTGCTGAGCCACAGAATGGGGAACAAATAGAATGGTATATTTTACACTACTAAAATTTGGGATGGTTTGTTAAGCAGTGATAAATAACTGATATAATCATGCAGGTCAAAAAACATGTGCAGATTTGAAGTGGCTACAGGCTGCCAGTTTCAGATCCTCTGCTTTAGATAAATGGGTTTAAACAACCTCCAGGGGTTCCTAGGCTCCGGCATACTGCAGTAGCACAAGAATGACTGCCTGCATACGAGGTGCTAGCACAGAGTGGGCCAGACAAAAGGGGACATGTTGACAGGAAACAAGTGGCAGGCTGGTAGCCAACCCTGTGGACTGACGCCTGAGGACTGATAGGAAATCTCAGCATATATCAGCACAGACAGATAACATTGTGGTATGATGTAAACTACTCTGGAATTCATATGCTAACCTGGGAGGAAGGAAGGTGGAGACCCCAGCTTTATTGAGGCTAAGTTTTCACTATTCCTATAACAAGCACACTCAGAAAGTGAATTCGAGGACAAGATCTCTGGTGTATCTGAGTTTATGAGTACCTTGGGTCTTCAATCTTTATAGATCCTGGAAGTTCGTAGTTGGTGGTTAGATAAAGAAATAAATGGGAGCTAATAAAAGACAAAGGAAAATCTTTACTGCCTTATTTTTCAACAAACTTTCTAGGTTATTTCCATTGAACCAGCTTTGAAGGTAGATTTAAGAGGTGTTTTGTTTGTTTGTTTGTTTTTTTTGTTTTGTTTTTTTTTTGGAGACGGAGTGTCGCTCTTGTTACCCAGGCTGGAGTGCAATGGCGCGATCTCGACTCACCGCAACCTCCGCCTCCTGGGTTCAGGCAATTCTCCTGCCTCAGCCTCCTCAGTAGCTGGGATTACAGGCACACACCACCATGCCCAGCTAATGTTTTGTATTTTTAGTAGAGACGGGGTTTCACCATGTTGACCAGGATGGTCTCGATCTCTTGACCTCGTGATCCACCCGCCTCGGCCTCCCAAAGTGCTGGGATTACAAGCGTGAGCCACTGCACCCGGCCTGAGGTGTTTTGATTCTTTCCTAAGGTGTGAGATTTCTGAAAGGGTAAGAAAGTGTTAACAGTTCCCTGACTGAATGAAAATTACTTTGAGGGGTCTGAAAATATTTAAAATGGAATACATCTATTCCTTCTAAAAGGAAAGAATATACACACGGGATATTAACATATTATTTTATTATTTATTTATTTTTTGAGACAGATTCTTGCTCTGTTACCCAGGCTGGAGTGCAGTGGCACAAAAACGGCTCACTGAAGCCTCAACCTCCTGGGCTCAAGCGATCCTCCCGCCTCAGCCTCCTGAGTAGCTGGGACTACAGGCACACACCACCACACCCGGCTACTTTAAAAAACTTTTAGTAGAGATGAGGTCTTGCCATGTTGCCCAGGCTGATCTTGAACGCCTAGGTTCAAGCAATCCTCCCACCTTGGTCTCCCAAAGTGCTGGGATTACAGACATGAGCCACTGCACCTAACTTAATGTTATTTTTTAGAGTCAGAGTCTTGCTGTGTTACCCAAGCTGGAGTGGAGGGGCAACATCGTAGCCCACTATAGCCTTGAACTCCTGGGCATAAGCCATCCTCCAGCCTCAGCCTCTCAAAGTATTGGAATTACAGACATGAGCCATCATGTCCTGCTGGGATATGAGAATAAATAACACACAGCTACAGATAGTTCTGGTTCTATGTCTAATGGCTTTCCATTTTAATTAATGTAATTATACATTCATTTATTTAACAGTTTTTGAAAACCATCACAACATAGTATAAGTGCTCTGACAGAGAATAGCCCAGGGTTCTAGGGGGCACAAAGCCTGGATGAGCAGAGCCAAGGAGGGCTTCCCAGAGGAGACAATGTCTGAGCCAAGTCACATAAAGTAAGAGTTGGACAGAAAGGGCAGTAAGCGGAGAGAACAAGGTGTGCAAAGAGAAAAACAGAAGTGCAGCTTATGCAATAAACTATGTTTAGGGCAATGCAACTGAAATTGAAGTGGAGGGATCCAGTCAGGGAAAGCTTCTAGGGAAGCAGGAGAAATAGAAGGTATCTTCTGGACAGGGTGATCAGCATTCAAAGACACACAGTGGAAGGAGTAGGCTGTGAGTAAGGGTTAATACATACAGGTCAAATACATACAGGAGCAGAGAAAGGTCACAATATCAAAGCTGTGAGAGACAAAAAACAAAAGTTGATAAAAAAAACCAGGCAGAAGAGGATGGATTCAACGAACCAATATGGGGAATGTGTGAGGCAGAGAACCTGAAAAGCAGCAGAAATATGAAACTTTAGGTGTCTGCCCCTCCCAGATTCTACTGCAAGATAGGAGGTTTATTCTCTGCTCCAGAAGAAATGACACTAGCAAGTGGAGGGGTGGGTAGGACCAAAACTAAGTATAATCGGCAGTGATGAAACCTCCAGCCTCCTTCTCCCATTACATTTCCAGAATGTTATCAGCAAGTGTTCCCTCCAGATAGGAGACTGGAGGTTACTTCTCTAAGACAGTGGCCTGTAAATACAATATATTTAGGAAAATATATATATATAATCTTTCTGGAAATGCTTATTTTAATGAGGTAGATATCCCCTCTTTAATTCAAATATCCATGAATATACAATTCTTGTTTCTAATTCTTATTTCTAAAATGAGACAATACTTTAGTACCATTTCATCAGTATCATTTCATTCTATTTTTTGGTTTTATAGAACTAAGTGGAGAAATTTGTTCACATAAATAAGTAGATATAAATGGAAGGAATTTTGTTATAATCTCACTTCTTTGGAATTAAATCTCAAAAATCACAGTGATCTATCAATATTTTATCATAGATTAAGACATTTTATACAAAACATTTAAAAATTATTTTAAAAAAATAATCCATCCATCAACAACTCAGTTAGGTTCTTCTTTCTTTAATTGCATTGAAAGCAAATAATTGGAAACCTGAAGAAAAGGCTTCATTACTCAGCTACTAGAATCATTCATTTTAATTAAATATTATGCTTTCACTTAGAGGTTGTATTAGTCCCTTCTCATGCTGCTACGAAGAAATACCCGAGACTGGGTAATGTATAAAGAAAAGAGGTTTGACTCACAGTTCTGCATGGCTGGGAAGGCCTCCGGAAACTTACACTCATGGCAGGAGGGGAAGCAAACATGTCCTTCTTCAGGTGGCAGGACAGAGAATGAGTGCTCAGTGAAGGGGGAATCCCTCATAAAACCATCAGATCTTGTGAGGACTCACTATCAAGAGAACAGGATGGGAGCAACTACCTCCATGATTCAATTATCTCCACCAGATCCCCCTCAACAATACTTGGGGATAATGGGAACTACAATTCAAGATGAGAGTTGGGTGGGGATACAGCCAAAACATATCAAAGATGCTTTGTCTCATTTACTCAGAAAGAACTAGGAAATAACAATAATTTTATATATTTTTGCCATATAATTTTTTGATAAAAAGCTTTTTGATATTTTGACAGACCAGACAGAAGTTCTGCCACAAAAGATGCCACAAACTTGTGTATTTTTTACTAAAGTTCTCTTTGCTTTGCTTTCAGAAACCCTGTATTAAACAAATAATAATTATGGGGAATGGAACAGTGAAGTCCTTAAATAAAACAAATATTTAGAATTGTCCTTTTGTTGGCATCCTGAAGACATTTACATCCTGGGGCGATATACTAGAGTGCTATTATACCACTAGTGAGATACAGCTCTTCCTTAGTGGGAAAGGGTGACTGTGAAAACAGAGGTGAGAAATAAGAGCTAGCACTGAGCTGCCTTCACAAACAGATCAATTTAAACGAAGATTTACACAGGGCAATTGGTGATCTGGAAAATGATTCCCTTAAAACTATCTGTGCTTATATACCTCTTAGAGGGGATGCCTGTACCCACTCCAATTTGCAGACCACTGACCCACCCCAAGAAAGTGGAAAACATATCCAGAAAGCTTGGAATTGCTACATGGTAATGTGAAGCAGGGGGTGACAGGCCTACAGAATAATCACTACAAAATGGAGTTAGGCATCAGAGGACTCCAGGACAGATGTCTCTGAGAAAAAGATGGAACAGAGAGATTACCTGATGTACTTGATGGTACTGAGCAAGGTTTTACATCTTGGTTGGAGTTTGGGGGTTCCATTCTTCATCATTAGTTATTGATGACCTTGGCAAAGCTTAATATTATCCAGCTGAGAAAACATAGTACTAGAGAGGGGGTGTAGGATGACAAGGCACTGATTAGAAATAAAGCTATCTGGATTAAAAACAGAACCTAGAGGGAAAACAGTGGCAGTAATAAAAATGATAGCAGTACATGAAAGACAAGTATTTCCTATTTTGCCAACAGAAGACATGATAATCATCTCATGTTTAACTCAGTATGTGTAGCTTTGAGTGGGGAGGAGTGGCTCAGTTCATTAAGGTGAGATTAGGTTGAGGCAGCCAAAGGTGAGTTTTGATGAATTCTGCTATAATGGCACTCCTAAAGTAAAGAGTTCACAATCTATATTCTCTACTTTTTGATTAGTTTGTCTTTCTTAAAGGCTAGATCCTGACTTATCTGCATGAGAATAAACTGGTTTGTCTGTTAAAAATACAAAATCCTGGCTTTATCCTATACATGTAGAAAGGGAAGAGAGAGGAAATCCTGGAATCTGCATTTTAAACAAGGACTTCAAGGGATTCTTATACACTTTTGAGTTTGAAAGCCCTCCATTTAAGTCCTTAATGGAGGTGCAGATTATTTGTAACTGAATGCCCAATCCCTTTACTACTCTATAGAGCAGCCCCAGCTGACTCCAGCAGCAGATATTTTGCATAGGCAAACATACTGTGAAATATTTAAGGCATAGGGTTGGATTTCCTGGAACCCTTCCTCTCTCACCAAAGTGATTTAGCTCAGTCTTGGGACTGTGGATAAATGAATTTCTAATTTCCTTCTCCTCCTTTCACCAAAACAGAATCCTCCTTTGAATTTTAACAGATATTAAACCAACACAGACACCCTGTTAGACCTTTAAACTTCTTAAAATAGGAGATGTTACCTGTGCTTTAAAAATTCAATTAAGCCACCATCTAGTAACCCACACAAGGTCCTACCTATGGTGGGTGTTACTGTACACTATTGAAATGAGGACTTAGAAACTCTGATTAGGGAGAAATTAGGAGCTCTTCACCTTAGTCTGATGGCCCTGCATATCAGTTCCATGAAGTCCATTTTCAGAATGGACAAAAAAAACAAGTGTCAGGGCACCTGTATGATACCATGAATACCTCAAGTTTGGGAAATTCTAAGAACACAAGCTGAAGCTATTAAGAATCAATTCTTTCGAGAATAGCTTTTCTTAGAGCACTGAAGGGGAGAATAGCTTTCTTTCTTCACCCATCACTAGGTTCACGACTGAGGCACCTATAACAAAAGACTGATCAATGAGAAAAGCATACAAATTTATTTAAGTTTTATGAGACAGGAATCTTTAGAAATGAAGATGCAAAGAAACAGGAAAACCTGTATATTTTTATGTACAGTATCATGCAGAAGTATAATCAGAGGACAAAATGATATAATCTAACAATAATAAACTGTGAAGAACTCAGCAAGTCCTGTTTGTTCAGATTCTCCTTGGTGTCTCTGTATCTGTGAGGATAAAGGGTACCTCTGGAATAAAGGTTTTATGATCTACTTCAGAGGAAGGTCACTTAGGTTTTATGGCCTGCTTCAGAGGGGAAGGTGTGAAAAACCTTGTTACTGCAGTTTTTTTAGATATCAGGGTGCAATATTTTGGGGTTGTATGCCTTGAATCCCATCAATATTAAGGGGGAGAGACTAGCTTAAATCTTTACTTGGATTCCAACTAAGTCTTACCCACCCAAGGGGCAGAGGAGTGGTCATATATATGCCTTCACATCTGGTCAGCTCCACAATGAGTCAGAAAATTGGTTAGAGATCTAAATCACAACAGAAAAAAAAAATCTTTATTGCTACCAACTTGTCCCATCAAGAGAGTAAGATATACATATGTAAAGAAATAGTCATTCTGTCATCCAGGCTGCTGGAAGGCAGTGGTGCAATCATGAATCACTGCAGCCTCAAACTCCTAGGCTCAAATGATCCTCCCGCCTCGGTCTCCTAAAGTGCTGGGATTAAAGGTGTGAGCCACAGCACCTGGTCAATTATACTTCAAAAAAAATATATTTTGACATGTATACTTATTATCTATAAGCATTTTTCATGAGTAGTTCTCAAGAAGTCCTAGCAAAAAGTATACTTCAAAAACATTCTTTTTTAAAGAACTCTAGCTAATAACATTCATTTGGGTGAAAAGCCTTATTATGCTGCTGCTAATAACTGCAACAAATTTACCTTAGATTATTAAAAACTACTTTTTCTTAGAAAACTATAATTCAAGGAATCAGGCTTGGCTGCAGAAAGAAATGGAGTTGAGGAATACTGTTAATTTTTCCAGCTTGACCCCAGAACCATCAACAATGGTTTACTTTTTTGTTATTTATTTATTTTAGACGGATTCTTGCTTTGTCATCCAGGCTGGAGTGCAATGGCATGATCTCAACTCATTGCAACCTCCACCTCCCGGGTTCAAGTGATTCTCCTGCCTCAGCTTCCCAAGTAGCTGAGATTACAGAGGTGTGCCATCAGGCCTGGCTAATTTTTGTATTTTTAGTAGAGACGGGGTTTCGCCATGTTGGCCAGGCTGGTCTTGAACTCCTGACCTCAAGTGATCCACTCACTTTGGCCTCCCAAAGTGTTGGGATTACAGGCATGAGCCACTGTGCTCGGCCTATTTTTATTTTTTATGATGTAGAAAATAAAAAGTTCAGGATAATTTTTTTTTTTAATTAAAAGAAAGATAAAGAAAGCAGAGGGAAGGAAGGGGTTTTGATTTATTTTTTAAAGGAGAAATACAAAGAGTTTTAGTTGGTTTAAGTCTCTGTGAAACATTTGGTTTCTACTTCCCAACTATACAGCCTATGCCACAACATACTGTGACCAATTCTACATACAGATCATGATTTGCATAGCTCTTCTTTATGTCAAAAAGAAACCAGGGGTAGATCCTTTCAAAGAGGAAGTAAAGAAAGGCTGGAGAATAGTCTAGCTGATGAAAGCTGATTTAAAAATCCTTTTCCAAATTCCCAAGACTGCCTTTCTAAAAGGACTCTCTAACATTCTTATTTTAATATCCTCTTGCAGCATACCTTGATTTCCAAGGTACTTCTGGAACCTAATTAAAATGGAATAGAAAGTGAATTCGGTGTTTTCTACCTAATTTTAAAATGAGAAACAAAAACTGTGTATTTATTATTATTATTATTTAAAAGTATACAGCAAAATCAGGAGTACAAGGATCAGCACCAGAGCCAGAGAGAGAATATGGGTGATAAAATGCTGAATAAATTGTTTTTAGAAATCAAGTTCATATGCTAAGGAAGAACTGGGGCAGAGAAGATTAAGCAAGCAAAAAGATGGGTTAAAAAAAGTAATGATGAACTATTATGGACACACACGCACACACACACACACACACACACACACACACTCCCCACCCCCAAAAAGCTTTGAAGTGATTATGAAATCCAGGAATCCTAGTTCATAATTCATGTAAATGTGTTGCTGTGGAACTTATTTTTACTTCTCTCCATAAATAAATTGTTGACACAAGAATAATATTCTCAGTTTTCTGACTATAGCTAAGGGACATTTCAGGAATTGACTTTTCCTGAAAATAAAAAAAAAAATGGAGAGAAGGCTATAAATGTCTCTCAGTGCCCTTGTGCAGGTCTTAGATTTTACCCTACCTATTTCCAAATAAAACAGCAAGAGACTGCAGACAGCAGCAACCTAAAGAGTAAGGGAGCTGTCAATTTTTCACATCATTTTACCAGAATTCTTTTTTTCTGGTATTGCTGTTCTGTATGTATTATTAATCTGTATTTATATTTAACTCTAGCTATTAGTCCGCCTCTTCCAGCCACTGAGCCATTTGCAAAGGAGAGAAGAGGGAGACAGGGTTGCTATTATTAGACATTTCTGTGTGTGATGAGGGTAGAGACAATTAAATAACACCATTTTGCATCTTTGAAAATGACAGAGATTGTTTGGGGTGGACAACTCAGGGCTGGTTAACAGGACCTTTCCCCTCAAGAAGGTAAAACAATAGAGATACATTTTTCAAGTACTGTACTTAAGCCTTCAGCAGTGAGTGTGGGAAAATTACAGACCCATAAAAACCCTCCAGTTCTAGGCAAGAGTAAATTTTCTTTGGAGTTCACTGTCATTGCTCATTTACTGCATCATTTTGACATCATCTCATATTTCCACAAGGCTTTTACATAATCTATAAACAGGGACAGAAAGGTGAGGAATACAGAGAACAGGAACAAAGTTTGGACCTCCCATGTTGTCACTACCTTTCATTTTTCCATTAAAGGGTGAGGCTGAAGGGTAGCATTTTAAGACGTCTTCATTAAAAGGCTGTAATGGTAATAATTGACACAGCAAGAGGAAAGCTGTGAAAGACTGCCACTGCTTGCTCACTCTTCCAAGGACGAGTGTAACTCAGTCATAATGAAGGCTCTTTAATGTTCCTGCCCCAAACCTTTTCCGATCAGGAAAGCCTGGAATCTACAGGCAAGAAAGACAATTATATTAAGTCTCAAGAAATAAAAGTTCAAATACTAATAGTAATTTTTTCCTTCTTTTCCATTTCTGTATGTTAGCCAGTTTTTCCTTTAAAAAAAGAAAACAGTTTTCTGAGGTTTTGCTCAGAAAACCACAGATTAAATAATAAAAAGAAAGTTTACCAAAATGGAAAATATCTGCCAACAAATTGGTGACAGTGTCATCTAAATCAGAAAAACAAAGATAAATCTCATAATACCTACTAGACTTTTATATAAATTATTTGTACTGTGACAGACTCTGAACGTATACTCTTGGAGTCCCAAGGAAATCCTTTTTTTTTTCTATTTTATAATGTAATCTTATTCCTAGATTATTCTTGTTTCCTAGACCCTTATTTTCCCTTTGTTCTGTTTTTCTCCTTTTCAATTAAACAGGATAGAAGGAAATCATTGTTTGTGCCTACAAAGGGCTTTCTGCAACTTTTAAAAATCACTTCTGAACTTAAATTTGGAAATCATCTATCTAAATTTAAAAATCCATTTTATCAAGAAAAAATAGATACCAACCTGATTACCTTCTCTTAAAAAGTATCTCTTCTCTATGACCTGTGAAAAACAAAGATTTTAAGGGCTTAGCACATATACCTGAAAAAAGGGGCTAACTGCAATGACCACAAATGGTACTAAAAGGAATATATGCGAAATAAGAATCTTTTCCATAGCAGTAGATATGTAGTAGAGTGAGCTAAAAATCCGGTGTTTAATGAGATCAGAATTGTGGGAGAATTTCCATAAAAGCCTGCCTCATTCCAAAAAGCATTAATGATAGATCAAAAAATAAATGAATAACAAAAACTAAATAATGATAGAATGACATCCATGCAATTCTTAGAGTATGGTAGCAAATATGACTCTAAGTTTCCTAGCAGTCAGTCCCAAAATGTACTAAACAAAATCCACAAGATAAAAAAAGCACTTGCCTGCTACAATAGTCTTGTCTTATTTCTTAAAGAGGAGACTGCTTAACAGAGCAAACCACCACATCCTTATAGTAAGTGGTGACAAATTCTATATGGCCTCAATATAGACAGATGACGCAACATCAAAAGCAGTCTAATGACTGTCGTATTGTCTATTTTTTTTTTTTTAACTAACTGCACCTTTACTTCAGTAGTTTCAGAATTGTCTGCATTTGTTAAGTAGAAAACACAAGTTCAAGCAGTAGATGCATTTGCACAAATCCATCAACATTTTTGAAAAGAAATCCTCACAATATATGTTCAAATGTAATGAGTTTAAGAGCACCATGTTTTCATCGATTTTTCCTCCAAACTGCTGTAAACACTGAAGAGCACCATGTTTCCATATAATGAAAAATATTTTCAAGAATAATATATTCTGTTCTAACACTTGAGAAACTGCAATGGCTACAGATGAAGTATTATAAAGTCTCTGATTTAGGATGGCTTGAGTACAATTTTTTGACTTTATGGTGTTGTGAAAGCAAGATGCATTCAGTAGAAACTATACCTTCAGTGCCCATACAATGGGCACTTTTTTCACTGTCAGTATAGTATTCAATAAATTACAGGAGCCATTCACAACTTTTTAATAAAACAGGCTTGTGTTAGATGATTCTGCCCAACTATAGGCTAACATAAGTGTTCTAAACATGTTTGAGGAAGGCTAGGCTAAACTGTGATGCTTGGTAAGTTAAGTATAATACATGTGTTTTTGACTAACAATGTTTCCAATTTTCAAGGGGTTTACTGAGATATAACCCTATCGTAAGTTGAGGACTATCTGTATTTTCTTTACACAGACTTGCTGTGATAAGAAAAGTTAACCAGGTAATAACACAGATCAGCTGGAGATAAACTTCAAGGCATTCAAATTTGAAATTATGCAGCTAAGAATTCCTCTGAATGAGAATAGAGCATGTTCTTCCAAGGCCAATGCCAGCTTGCTCTCTCTGGTATGATAGCCATTCATCCAGATTCTTGCTGTCTTGGAGACTATGGCTGTATTATTTTTAGCCACAAGATACCCAGGGCAAAGTTGCATTCACTTACCCCAGAGGTAGAAAAGTTGGTTCATTATTAGTGTACATCTTAAAACAATCCCACAAAAAACAAGAAGGAGACTGATTCCCTTTCCTCTATGGCAGGACAGGAAAATCTGATTATTCTGGAGTGCGAGGAATTACTACTAATTGAAAGAGGCTGGAGAAGGAGTTAGATTTTCTTTTGGAGAAGAAATCTTTATGCTAAATTCTGGAAGAACTGAATGAAATTTGGTTGTCAGCTCCTTTGGTTTCAGGCAATCACCTCAGTCTGGAGGTCTGGCCAACCTCCTAACCCACATACCTTTTGTTGTGATTTAGACAATAAAAAGAGAAATGAACTTTTTGGTCTTGGTTATAATTCTTTACCCCTGACTTGCAATGTTTACTTCTGATTTTTTAAAAAAATAAAGCCTTCCTGACAACTTGGATCATACCAGTTAATAACCAGTTTCTCTAGGATATAATTTAGTATATCTTATTTTTTAATTTTAGAACTAATAAGTTATTTTTAAATTTAAACAACACACTTTGGGATCTTTCAGATCTATAAGATGTTGCTCTTAGGGGACAGGATTTTGTATTGATGGGGCCATGGATCTAAACCAAATGGAAGTTCTTACATTTTAAGTTTGAAAACAATGTGGAGAGAAAATCTGGCTCCTTGCAGTGCTACACATTTTTCATGTCATGGCACACACAGAAAATGCTAATATTTGTACAGCACACTGGGGAAAATGGAAGAGGCTGCCTATCACCCAACCTCCCACCCTGAGGGCTCTGGCTGCTCTGAGAACTGAGAGAAATCAGTATACAGGTACATCTGTATCCTATTTGCCACATACCAGTTAAGAAGTTTTGCAGTGAAGCAAGATTTTCCTAGTGGCCTAATACTAATCAAGGAGGGGGCTGGGGCTTATCTAATGATGACAAAGAGGCCAAATATTAAAACCCAAATTATCTAAAGCTGGGGCTTATCTAACACTGAACAAAAGGGTCAAATATTAAATCCCTAAATACTTAAAAGAAAAAAAAGTGATTCATTAAGAAGAGCGATAGGAAGATGATTTTCTTAGGCAATGACACTTAAAAAGAAATATAATACAGGAATTAAACTTTTTCAATAATATATGCAAAAGGACATCCTATTTTACCTTACTATGCAATTTCAATATTAAGCAAACAACTTAAACTTGGTTAATACTATGTGCAATGCAGGTGTATGGCCTTGTGAAGGAAAGATAAACAGTGCTCTAATTTACCAGTATGCTGAGTCATTCCACATTTTCCTTCCAGTTGAGGACAATAAAATGATGCTAGCAGAGAATCAATAACTGGAATGCAATAGTGTTCTGAGAGGGGAACACTAGGAAATCAAGAAGACAACATTACCTTAAAAGGTAACAGTAATATTTATGTGGGGAATATTAACAGGTGAGAGAGCAGAAAGAACTAAGGGCTTTAGGCAGAATCTCCTCAGTTCGGTGTCTTTGTGGGAGTGGGAGGGTGATTAAGTGAAAAAAAGAGCGAGAAAATGGGTAAATAGAAATTCTTTTAAGAAGAGGAATTAGGTATTTTTTAAAACCCCCATTTAAGTCCAGTAGCTTTTACCCTTTACTTAGAGAACACTGGTGATGGAACTAATACGTCAGCAAACCTTGGGCAATTATACCAACAGGTAAGAGAGGTCAAACAAGTATTATTCAGGCTGTAAAGTTTTGGACAAAAAAATAAAGGGTCATAGGATTCTACAAAAAAAATTTAAACTCTCATAATATATAAATTAAGTTTAAAAATAACTGAATTGAAGCCATTACCTTATCAAAAAACCTGCTGAGCTTGACAGCATTGGAAGAACCTGCAGCTAAGTACCGTGGATTTGTGCAATCCTAGAAGATAAAACATAAAATCCACAATTGAAAGTTAGGAAAGCCAAGCACTTTGCTGTTTATAACCTGTCCTGTTGCATATTTTTATAGGCACAATACTCTCATAAAATATTCAAATAACTTTCAAATTATGATGCACAAAGCAAGGAAAGTATTAAAGGAAAATAAGGCCACCTAATTTTTGTCGTTTAAGCAATTTTAGAGTATACCAAATCAAAGTATTCATCATCAAATCATTCACAGAGGAAAACAAGATTACTAATATTTTACTAATAACAAAACCAAGGTACTAATGGGAGTGACCTACCTAATTTACCCTGAAAACCAGAGAGAGAGCCATTAAAAACAGCGTTTCACTTTTAGTACTAGTTATTCACCAGTACTCAACTAATTTAGTTCTAGGCAGTTCATATGAATAGGAGAAAGTATGAAAATAAGGATTTAGAGGCACAAAGAACAAACCCAACAATTGCCAAGGATTTCTCACTCTTTGGATGCAAAGTACTACATCTTTTGGTAGGCCACAAAGATATATTATTTTTGGTAATAAACATCTACTATTGTTTGATAATAAAGATATATTACTACTCTTTGATGGAATTTTTTTTTTCTTTTTCTTTTTTTTTACATTTCAGGCAGTGGCCAACAAGATGGAATTTTTTATAGGAAAAAAAAAAAAAATGGGGCCCAGAAGGGACAAAACGATCTGGAACATTAATCATTACAATAACTTTGCAAAGACCTTAGAAGGCCTACGATCCACTGGAATTCCAGTATAGCTTCTTTTTTTCTTTTGCTTGTCACCATCGACTTGCCACCTTGAGAGATAAGAGTATTTTGATTTTTACCTAAAATGTCACCTAAGACCGAATTACAAGGGCTATTATGTAAGCTCCTTTGCAAGCATGAAATTTTGTCTTTTAGCTATAGACCCTCTGTGCCCCTACAAATTACTGAAATTACTGTTGTTACATTTATTCTGTTTTGCAATCTCCAAGTACACATGATTCCTTTCTAATGAAGCCTCCTATTTTATTCATATGTAACATTTCAAGGCACACATTTTAAATTTTGGCCAAAAATTATAATGCATTCTCCAAAATCACAAAAAAGAGAGGCTACAACAAAGTTGTCAAAGATCACAGAGTACTAGAAACCAGGGGTCTTCAAAGCTGGCAAGCTCTGAATCTGAATATCCATCCCAACATTTCCAGGCTGTGTAACATTGGTTAGGTTACTAAACCTTGAAATTTGGGCTTACTGACTTGTGGAATGGGATAACAATATTTTATCCCATGGGGTTTTGTAAAAAATTAAATAATGTATACCTGGACATAGCGGGTACTAAAATATTAGTCGTCTTCTCTCTTCAATCTAAGAAAATGCTAACAGATTCAATTTTCAGGCATAACAAGCACTTACCATAATAAAGATAATTCCAAATATGTATTACATAGACTGAAACATCATTGCACAAACTATGGTATTTAAAGTAGTGTTTGAACACATTTCTACAGCAGTTGGGGCATATAAGAGACAAACCTTAGACCTGTGGTAGAAATGTTTTACAAAATAGATACTGATTAGCTAGTCATCAGAATGTCAAAAGTTTGAGATGATTCTAAATAAAGCTAAAGTACTAAACAAAAACTAAATCAAACAGCAAACAAAAAAACACCCCCTAACTTTAATTCTATGGTTCCATAATTTCAGGTTGACCAGCCTAGAGAAACACTATGATTTTTAGGATGAAAAATTTAGAGCTGAAAGAGCCATCTGCCATTTATCATGGCTGAGGGAAAAATCTGAAAATTAATAGCTCCAAATAGCTTGTCTGAGCTTGAGAAAGGACTATTAATTACGGAAGATACTTCAATATGATCACTTCAAAATAAATACATAACAGAAAATTTTTTATGGGGTAAAATAAGCCTAACAGGATTTTAGAAAATAAGTAATCATTCACCTATTTATAATTTAAACAATTCACATTTATTCAGGCAGTTATTAACTTTGATTCCATCTTTGATGTATACATTTGTTAAATCTTTTCCACAGTTTTAAGTAAATTCATACAGTAACTGATGTGGTTAGCACTAATATTGTTACATTAGTTTTTATTTGAGGCTTTCTTTATATTTACTTGCTGAATCTTTTTGATTGCTATTTCTTTTTGAAACTCTCGTATTCAATTTTCCTCTCATTTTTTCTTCCCTGCATTCTCTGACCCTTTCCTATTGTCATTTGTGCTGTGTTTTTGTCGCTGTACACTAATAAAGGCCAAAAACATGTTATATTTGAACTCTTTGGAAATCATGTGTGCTAAAGTCCCACTACCTGAGTACACTTACATCTGACTTATAGTTAAAAGATGGCCTTGACTTTGTAAGGCAAGTAGGAATAACACACACACACACACACACACACACACACACACACACACGTGTGTGCACGATTATCACAGAAACTCACAAGCACTAGAAACAGATATATTCTGAAATATATTAAAAGTAAGTACTGAAACAAATTTAGGTGTTTTTATTGGTAAATTTCCCTTTGGAAATAATGTTCAATGTAATCTCTGCACTTTTCAACAAGAATATTATATATCTATATAGCAAGAATCCTTTGGAATATCATGGTTCAGTGCTGACTACCTGGGGTATGCACATCAAATATTCCATTGTGGCAGCTGAGAAAAATGAGGGGCTCTCCACTGCAAAGCAGAATGTAAAAAACAGTGAATGGCAGGCAGAAGTTGGGGGTAAAGGTGGGGTTGAACCAAGCAGTGTTCACAAACATTGATTCACAGAATAAGGGCATCAGAATCACCTGAGTTATTTGTTAAAACTACAGAGTCCTGGTCCTCCTGCCAGGCTTTATGAATAAAAAGCTTCAGCTGTGGGGCAGTTATTCAGAAATTTCCATAGGTACTATTGGTAATACATATACAATCAGATTTGGGTCACTGTTGGTCTAGATGATTTCTAAGTTTTTTCAGTCCCCAAATTCTCAAGGTGAGTTGAAGGATTAATTAAGTGGAAAAGAGGCTTAACCACAGAACATAGGCTCTGAATCTGAATACCCTATTTGACCTGAGTAACCTTGGTCTAATTCTCTCTCTCTTTCTTGTCTTCAGCTTTAAAAAGAGGATAGTAATAGTACCTATCTTACAGGGTTGATTGTGAAGATGATGCATGTGAGATAATGAATGTAAATACCTAAAACAGTTTTCAACCCGTAAGTGCTTAATAAACGTTGGCCATTAGTACTATTACACCACCGCCACTGTATTTCTGGAACGCCAGTGCACAGTTGCAAAAATCCTATTTATGAACAATGACATAACCATGACTGAAGTTGCTGGCCAGGATTCTTTTCTGGGATCCTAACGGAATTACATGACAAACATTTCTTAGCTTTTTTAAGCACTCAGTTCTAATTGAGCTAGCTATCTCATCAAGGGACTCAATTCTCTATATATGTATAAGTGTACAGAAATTAGTCCTTATGACGCACTCATAGTTTAAAGTTTGTAATTTTCTCATGTATCTGTCAGGTTGCCCTTTAAGGTAAAATTTGTAGTTTAAGAAGCTAAGAGGCTTTGTAAAAGCAAGAATAATCAACTCATAGTGTCATTTTAATCAATTTATTTTAATTTTGGTGTGATTTTTAAAAACTTTCTCAAGAAAAAGGCCATTGGGCCAGGTGCAGTGGCTCACGCCTGTAATCCCAGCACTTTCAGAGCCTGAGGCGGGCAAATCACTTGAGGTCAGGAGTTCTAGACTAACCTGGGCAACATGGAGGAACCCCATCTCTACTAAAAATATTTAAAAATTAGCTGGACATCGTGGTACACACCTGTAATCCCAGCTACTCAGGTGGCTGAGGCACGAGAATTGCATGAACCCAGGAGGTGGAGATTAGAGTGAGCTGAGATTATGTCACTGTACTCCAGTCTGGGTGACAGAGGGAGACTGTTTCAAGAAAAAAAAAAAAAAAAAAAAAAAAAGAAAAGAAAAAGCCCATGATTTAAATTATTCACAGAATAAAGTCTGAACATTCCAACAGGTCAACATAAAAGGCTGAAGTGACTGTGCACATCTCTCAGTCTAGATATGTTGATTCAATCTTGACTACATTTTGGACTAGAATCCAAATAGTCTGATTTCAAGTATAAAGTTTCTTTCACTAGAATATATGATTTGAATATGTCTTTAGTTTGGTCTTTACCTGATAATAATACAAGCATGCATTAGTCAAAATACACACCAAATTAATCTCTTCTGCATTGAAATCCTCAGCCAGGAAAGCAGTCCTAGTTAAAACTTCATGGCGCTTTGTTTCATGAATCTGGTCCAGTTTAGTCCCTATTACCAACAGCGGTATTTGGTTATCAGCAAACTGTTCTCGATCATAATCCCTGTGGTAAATAATAATGAAGAGGTGAATAGAATTTACCTTTCTGATGTAAATGTGTAATATTTAAATGGAACTAATTTAAACTATTTTACTGAAAATTAACTGATTTCTGCTCTCTTTACCTATAAAACTACTTTCCTTCCAATTTCTTCCAACTACTTGTTCTTTCATCAACTCATCCTCCTCTTCTATCAGATTCCAGTTATTCATCTAACTTCTCAAAATTTGGTCCCATGTTTTTATTGAGTATTGAATAATACTGAATAATTGAACAAGTATACAGTTAATAGACTTGACTTTCCACATAGCTCTGTCTTCTGAGGCTAACATAACAACTCAGGAATGTTTCAGAGTAGAAGCAGAGAGTGGTTTTAAGTCTCAGTGTATAGAAAACCCAAAAGCCTAGCATGGCACTTAAGCCTTGTGCTAGAAGACAAAATGGCAATCTTCTTGGGTATCTTTTGAGGTGTGCATTAACTCTATATCTACAATACACATTTCTGTCTGAATTGTAGAGAAATAAGAAGCATAAGAAAATCGAAATCAAGAAGCTGAAGCCTGAAATAAATCAAATATAGGTGATACTATAGCCTGGGAAAGATGGGTTAAACACATGGAAATGGAAGGAAACAGCTGAAATGCAAAACGAATAGTAAAAGGAAAGGACTTAGTACCAAGTAGTTGTTTTTCCTGAAATGAGAGCAATGGGAAATAGAGGACAGGCAGTAAGAATCACTTAGGGTTAGTAGTTTTGGATCACTGGCTAGTACAATTGTTATTTTTTAAAAAATTTATCCAAAGAACAGAGTGGTGATGTAAATGATACTTCTCATTACTGAAAAAAATGCAGGGCTCATTGCTGTTGAATTAATTTAAATTCTACTCATATATTAGAAATAAAACAGATTTGGATTCTTGACACGTTAAAAGCTCAACTTACAACAGTCAGCAAAATCTGGCTGTGCAAAATTTATGACAGTAAATCAATATTGTATGATCCAATCACTATAATCCAGTTGAGTATAGCTTTTTTTTCTTCGTGTAAAAAACTTTTCTTTCTTTTTTCTTTCTTTCTCTTAGAGAAATTCTAAATTTGGGTAGGGGGAAAAGTTATTAAATACTTATGCCCTTCACAATAATCTTACAGAGCCTCAGCAAACTGTTCAGCCTCAGAACACAACTGTTTTAACTATATAACCTCCCATCTCACAAAAATATTACTGTTCTATTTATTGCATCAAAGCCAGTAATAGCATGATCAAGACCTTTGATTATTCATAACAACAGCAACCCTAATTAAAGAGACATGGTTCAAAGCTGCAATTCGCTTTGTCAGGGAATAAAGTTTTAAGAGTATCTTTCCTTTAGGACTGTTTCCTCCTGTCTCACTTAGAATTTTTGCTTATTTTCTATCAAATATCATCTTTGATATACACACATTTCTCACATAGTCTTGCACTATTCCTTGCACATTGACAGATTTAAAGCATATGAATATAATTTGGTCTCTTATTTCTCTTTACCTTTATCTTTTTCATAAAATGTTGTATCCAATTTAAAATTTAACCTTGAAATCTTTTTTGGTAAACTTTTGAAGAACTTTATCATGGATGGATAAGGCTGATAACTCCTTATCATCACAAAGAGACACACAGCCAGGTATCATATTACATCCATAATACTGGGTGGAAAAATAAAGACCAAAAAAGCTTCCATCTTTCAGACCACTATATTTAATTACCACTTTAGAGAAGATTTAGAATTCAGAAACAGAGTTTAAAAGACAATACAGGGAGACAATCAGCAAATCCAGAATGTAGGAAACTGTACAAGACAAATAAGCCATCTTCTTCTACAAATAAACTGCTAGGAAGTTGAGAAAAAAAACAACCAAGAAGGGAGAACTTAAGATGAAAAGACACTTAAGAAACCAGATACAACCAGTGTACCTTATTTAGATACTTTTTTGAAAAAAATCAACTGTAACATTAATGAGACAATTGGGGAAATTAAAATAATATTTGGTTATTAAAGAATTATTAAATTTTTAGCTGTGATAATTACATGTTGTCATGTTTAAAAAAGCCTTTATGCTTTAAACTATACATGGATGAAATGATATGATGTTTTAACATTTGGTTCAAAATAATCCAGTTGAGAGTGGGAGAAGATAGGAAGTGGGTAGAGGTATGGATGAAACAAGACTGGCCATATGTTGATAATTGTTGAAACTAGGCAACAGGTATATGGGAGTTCATTTTCCATTCTTTGTATTTACATACGTTTAAAATTTTCCATAATAAAGTTAAAAAATTTTTTATTGTGGTAAAAACCACATAAAATTTACCTAAATTTTAAAAATATGGCTAAAAACTCAAGCTGATATAAAAGATATACGCAAAGCAGTCTTGCTCCTACCACTATACCCATCCACCCATTTCCTCGGCCCCCTATAGGTTCCATTTTTAATAGTTTCTTATTTATCTCTTCACTGATTCCTTATCCAAATACAAATACATATTCTTACTTCTTTCCTTTCTTACACAGCAGGATGTATACGATGTATATTCCCTGCATCTTGATTTGTTAAACCTAATACTGTACCCTCTGTAGATCTTTCTACTTTAGTTCCTAGGGATCTTTCTGATTTTTTATTTTCTTGCTCTGTCACCCAGGCTGGAGTGCAGTGGCGCAATCTTGGCTCACTGCAACCTCTGCCTCCTGGGTTCAAGCAATTCTTCTGCCTCAGCCTCTCAAGTAGTTGGGGCTATAGGCACATGCACCACCATATTCAACTAATTTTTGTATTTTTAGTAGAGACAGGGTTTTACCATGTTGGCCAGGATGGTCTCGATCTCCTGACCTCATGATCCCCCTGGCTCAGGCTGATTCTTTTTCAAATGTTGAATACTGCTTCAGTATGTGGATATGTCATTATTTATTCAATGAATTTTTTGTTGCTCAGACACTAGAGTTGTTTCCAAATCTTTTGATGCTACAAAATAACGCACCAACGAAGCACACCAATGTATTAAGCTTGTTTAATACCTTGCAGGTTTATCTATAGGATCAAAATGAAGCTGCAGTGTCAAAAATGCAAATGGATATAGAATTTTTACTGAATTCCCTCACACAAATGCAGATTTCTTTCTGATATGAATACACTGTCTCTTAATCCTAAATTTAAGGACAAGTTTCTTGAGTAAAAATCTTAGTAGAAAATAGAGAACAAGCTAGGTTAATGAAGACATCAGTGATGAAAGGAATTGAGATAGGAAACAAGAAATATCAACTAGGCTTTGAAATGTGGGTTTTAAATTAGTTGTGGTTATTCTTTATCAGGTCTTACAGGAATCTACATATAATTACTCAAGCTTAATACTACATTTAGGTTTCACATAACAATTAGACTTCTACACAGAAAACAGTCTTTGAAAGACTTGCTTTAATCAAAAAATAGAAAATGGGGTTCTGTTCTAGGTAAGACAGAATAAGCAAACTCTATCCTGTCTTTTCCAGTGAATGCAACTGTAAAACCTGGACAGGATGAATTAAGTGGCTATTTGAGGACTCTGAAAAATTAATAGTAGTAAACATATTGAGAAAGAAGACCACAATGTAAAGAACCATTGAATTAGCAGTGAGATTATGATATTTTTCCCTTCCATATCCCCTTATCTGAATGCAGCTCAGCTTAAAACCCAAAAGCTTCAACAGAAAACTCCAGAGGAAGGCCTACAGTTCTGGCTCATGAAACAAGAAAGGGGGCTCCTGAATGCTTGGAGATAGTGTAGAAATACAATATTTTTTGTTCTGTCATAAGCCAGCCTCTGAGCAATTCCATGATGGTTGTGGCAAAGGCTGTAACACAAAGAGAATGCTCAAAAACAGTGGTCCCCAACCTTTTTGGTACCAAGGACCGGTTTTATGGAAAACTATTTTTCCATAGACAGGTGTTTGAGGGATGGTTTCAAGATGAAGCTGTTCCACCTCAGATCACCAAGCATTAGATTTCCACAAGGAGCCTGCAACCTAGATCCCTCACATATACAGTTCACAATAAAATTCACACTCCTATGAGAATCTAGTGCCGCTGCTGATCTGACAGGAGGTGGATCTCAGATGGTAATGCCCACTCACCTGCCACTCACCTCCCACTGTGTGGCCTGGTTCCTAATAGGCCATGGACCAGGAGTTGGGGACCCCTGCTTATGAACACAGAGGAAGGAAAATCTTTCTCTTTGACTAATAGAACTGCATCCCAAGATGGTAGGGCAAACTCTCATTGCTTTTATTCTTTGTCCTTCTACCACTTGGCCCTGGACGTAGGTGCAGTTGTGCAAGTGTATGACAGAATTTGGACAGGAGACCTAAAAAGGGAGCCCCAGCAAATCACAAACTATGGGAGAGATTATAGAGAGGGTGAAGTTTCAGAAAGTGACCCCATGAAGTAGTTCATACATGCTTGAGCTCATTGTCAAAGCTGTGCATAAATGGATTTGATCCTACTTAGCATACCAAAGACACTGAAAACTGAAACAACAGCCATGTCACATACTGGGTGTTGCACAAATACAAAATAAGCACAATTATATAAAGTATGCTCTTAGATCACAATAAAATTAAGCTAGAAATCAACAGCAAGGAATGACCAGACAGCCTCTAAATATTTGGAAACCAACCAACACAATTCTAAATAGCTCATGGGAAAAGCTCAAGGAATATCAGAAAATATTTTGAACTAAATGAAAATAAAAGTAAACATTTGCAGGATGAAGCTAACACAATGTTTAGAGGAAAACTTATAGCATTAAAAATGCTTGTATTAGCAAAAATGCAAGGTATCCAGTCAGTAATCTAAGAAACTATAAAGAGAGAACAAAATAAACCAAAAGCAAGCAGAAGGAAGGAAATAAGAGCAGAAATCAATTAAACTATATACAGAAAAACAATAGAGAAAAATCAATGAAACCAAAATCTGCTTCTTTGGAAAAAAAATCAACATAATTGACAAACGTAGTTCTACAATTCTGACAAGAAAAACAGAAAACATAAAATACCAAAATCAGAATGAAGAAGATCATATTACTATAAACTGTGCAACTATCAAAGGGACAATAAATACGGTAAACAACTCTATTGATATAAATTCAAAAATTTAATGAAATAGACGAATTCCTTGAAAATCACAAGCTACCAAAACTCACCCAAGATGAAATAGGTAACTTTAACAATCCTAATTACTAAAGACATTGACTTTGCGGTTAAAAATAAGCAATCTCCAGGCCTAGGTGGTCTCTTGGTAAATCCTACCAAACGTTCAAAAAAGAAATAACATCAAATATACTCAATTTCTTCCAAAAAATAGAAGAGGAAGGAATACTTCCAATTCATTATATGAGGCCAACATTATCCTCACACCAAAACCAGTCAAAGACATTATGAGAACAGAAAACAAGACACCAATGACCAAGGAATGAAAGGCTAGTTCAATATTTTAAAAATAGTGAATGTAATCCACCATACTAACAGTTGAAAGAAGAAGCCAAATGTCCCTATCTATTGATGCAGGAAAGGCTTTTGACAGAATTCTGTTCTGTTTGACAGAAATCTGTTCATGAGATTAATAAAACTGTCAGCAAATTAGGGATAGAAAGAAATTTTCTCAACCTGATAAATGATGTCAACAAAAAAACCTAAAGCTGACATCATACTTAGAGTAAGACATAGATATTCACTCTTATCATTCCTATTTATTATCCTTTTGGAAGTTGCTGCCAATGCAATAAGGCAAGAAATAAGACAACAAGCATACAGAAATAATAGGAAAAAATAAATCTGTCTATGTAGAGCACCCCAAAGATTTTACTGAAAAACTCTGGTCACAGGATACAGGTCAGTGCTCTAAATCAATTCTATTTTTTTTTTTTTTTATACTAGCAATGGACAATTTGAAACTTAAGTTTAAATATACCATTTATGGCCAAGTATGGTGGCTCACACCTGTAACCCTAGCACTTTGGGAGGCCAAAGTGGGTGGATCACCTGAGGTCAGGAGGAGTTTGACATCAGCCTGGCCAAGATGGTGAAACCCCACCTCTATCAAAAATACAAAAATCAGCCAGGCATAGGGCACATGCCTGTCATCCCAGCTACTTGGGAGGCTGAGGCATGATAATTGTTTGAACCTGGGAGACACAGGTTGCAGTGAACTGAGATCATGCCACTGCACTCCAGCCTGGGCAGCAGAGCAAGACCCAGTCTCAAAACACAAAACAAAACTTTATATTACCTTCAAAAATATTAAATATTTTTGTATAAAATAAAACATGTACAGGATTTGTGTGTTGAAAACTACAAAATGCTGATTAGAGAAATAAAAGAAGATCTAAATAAATGAAGAGGTATATTGTGTTCATGAACTGGAAGATGCAACAGAATAAAGATGTTAATTCTCTCCAATGTGATCAATAGGTTTAATGCAATTCTAATTAAAATCCAATGAAAATTTCTGTCAATATAGGCAAGCTGATTTTCAAAATTTATGTAGAAAGATAAACTAGAATAGCTAAACAATTATGAAAAAGAATAAAGTAGAAGAAATCATACTGCTCAATTTTAAGACTATAATCAAGATAGTGTAGTACTGGTGAAGGGAGAGACACATAGATCAATGGAACAGAACTACAGTCCAGAAATAGACTCATACTAATATGGCCAAATGATTTTTGGCAAAGGAGCAAAAGCAGTTAATTCAATGGAGAAAGGATATCTTTTCAACAAATGGCGTTGGAACAATTAGACATTCATATGCAAACATTAACCTCACAACTTGTATAAAACTAACCTAAAACAGATCATAGATCTAAATGTAAACCTATAAAACTTAAAATGTTTTATATAAATGTTTTACTATAAAAATGTAAAACCATAAAATCTGTAGAGGAAAACATAAGAGAAAGCCTGCATCATCTAGGATTAGGCAAAGAGTTCTTAGGATATCTAAAGCACAATTCATAGAAGAAAAAAAGGGAAATCAGAATTTATCAAAATGAAAACTATTGCTTTGTGAAAGATACTGTTAAAGTAAAAGATAATCTATAGACTAAAAGAGAAATCTTTGCAAATCAAACAACTTACAAAGTGCTATTCTGGAGAGTACATTCCTGTGATTGCTATAACCTTTCAAACCAATTGTGAAATAATTCTGGGCTTACCCATTTGTCACCAAGACTCCAGTTGGCACCGAATCCCTGTTGAGAGCTTCCAATGACCAACGATACAAGTTTTGGGAGGACTTCTTATTTGTTAAGTCGTGTACTAAAATAATACCTAAATCAGAGAAAAATATGTTAATCCTTTAACAATTTCTCTTCATTTCACAATTGGCCAAATGAAGCTTGGTGAACAGAAGCATGGTTGCTTAATGAATCTAGCATTCTAGTATGACTAACAACTCAGGCACAATTATTTTAAAATTTCCTCTACAAATATTTATAAATAATGAGCCATAAACCTTTCTCTGTCAGTTTTATAACTATTTACTTTACCAGGGCTGACAAAATGCCATTAAACTTTTGGCAGATCTTTTATTCACTCAACACTTCCTAAGTGCCTACTGCATGCCTGTTCCTACTTGTAGAACTACTACATTAATCAAGAGAATCAAAACTACTTCAAGCATATACAAAATTATATTCATTCAAAAAGTTATGTTGTTTCTTCACTGTACATAGTACCGCCATAGATACCAGTACACACACATTGTATTTATACTTACTAAAAATAACATTAAATAATGAAAATCTATTAAAATAGTATTGACTTAAAATAATTGCTATTATTTAGCTGACAAAACAGTGTCCTGTACATCACCTGAGGCTAATCAACTCAAATGTCTAATTTTCTAGTTCTCTGAATAATGATTAGTTATGTAAGATTACTACCTGTAAGAGATAGAGCAAAAGAAATGTGTCACGGCCGGGCACGGTGGCTCAAGCCTGTAATCCCAGCACTGTGGGAGGCCGAGGCGGGTGGATCGCGAGGTCAAGAGATCGAGACCATCCTGGTCAACATGGTGAAACCCCATCTCTACTAAAAATACAAAAAAAAAAATTAGCTGGGCATGGTGGCGCATGCCTGTAATCCCAGCTACTCAGGAGGCTGAGGCAGGAGAATTGCCTGAACCCGGGAGGCGCAGGTTGCGGTGAGCCGAGATCGCGCCATTGCACTCCAGCCTGGGTAACAAGAGCGAAACTCCGTCTCAAACAAAATAAAAAAAAAAAAAAAAAAAAAAAAATAGAAATCTGTCACTAGAAGAGGGTGGGTGGAGACACTAAAAAGTAAAGAAGTATGGCTAGTAGAAAATACATGCATGAGATTGAGACAAATAACAAAATGTAATGAGGCTTAGAAATACAATTAAAGAGAATCAATTAAAATCCTAGATAGAAAGGTATATCAGGTAATTAATTATTACAGTAAGATATAGACAAAAGAGGAAAAACTTTGATGCCCACTAGAATTTAGGATACCATCTTATGGTCAAAACACTATAGGTTACAAACTCCCAGCTTTTTTCTATAATACCCAGATTGTGAATAGCACACAAAACTGATGATTCCTCCATCTTCAAGAGGTGGTATGTGTCAATTTGAAAAAGAAAAACAGATTAGGTAGAATTAGCTGGCTTCTACAGTTTTTACAGCGATCTGTATAACTAAAGGGCTTGTACAAGCTATAGTTGACTTGTTCCAGCCAGCTTAGATAAACCTGTATCTCTTCTAATGTCTGAAACCATTAATAGAGATCTGACACTTGCCCTAATATCCAATTGTAACCACTCGTCCTTCCTCAATGAGGGATTTTAATCAGCATCAATGGCATAGATTTAAAAAAAGAAATAAAGAACTGCCATTAAAGACTACAGCTAATATTTATTCAGTACTTATGTGCTAAATATTGTGCTTTACATGTGTTATCTAATTTAATTTTCAGAAGAGTCCTATGAGGTAAGAATTATTATTTTTATACACAAGAGAAAAAGGAAGTTAAGAGAGGTTGAGTAACTTGCTGTTGGTCACATAGTAAATCAGAATTTGTACTCAGGTAATCTGACAGTAAAGACTGCAGAATAAAATCTCATTTTAGGGCAAAAAAGTGGCATATATTTTCTCCGTTCCATTTTCCCCATGTTATAAATATTGCAAAACACATGGGTAAGAATTTTGGACTGGGGAGTGAAGGAATTACAAAGGCCTAAGATGACTATTAGATGGACAGGGAAGACTTTATTGAGGATCTCTAGGTGAGACTTTTGAGCTTTCAAGGGCATTGGAGTACCCATTTTCCCTATTCCTTTCCTTTCATTTGGGCTGAGAGTTCTTGCTTTGCAGAACATGTGCTAGAACAGCTAAGGTGGGGCCCAGCTGAAAGGAGTCAGGGTGATAGCTAATGATAATATAGTTTAATCTTAAGGGAGAGAAGAAAAGACGTTCTATTATTTCCTCCTGGGATTACTAGCCTAGGTTACCGGAGAGGGAAGAATGTAGGGTATTAAGGGAAGAAAGTTATTGCTAAGAATATGAACTATGCATTTGGATAGAATGATCCTTATGTTCATTTTCTTAGGAAACTATGATTGGTAGATGGAATAAAGAACTTTGAGTGCTTCTACCAGGAGGAATGTTCCAGAGTTAGGGTGAAAGAACATAGAAACAGGTTTTTCAAAAAACGGATTTTTTTTTTTTATCTTTAAAAAATGGAAATATATCTCAGTCTTATCTGCAAAATCAACACAGGATATATGCAATTCTTTCAATAATATTAAAGGAGACAAATCACTAATGAATAGTAAGTATAGAAGAGGTAAACAAATATTGATTAGATGGATTTTTCAGCACTTACAAGTTTACAACTCTGAATTCCATAGCTTCTAGGATTTGAATAGTATTTATCTGTATGATTTATTTATAATTTTAATCATATCTGTCTCAAAAATACCTAAACATCAAAGGTGTTACATACTCGGACTTCTCTGTGCCAGATCAGATAGATATCTTACTTTGACAAGTCATTTTACTGATACAAGTTGATTATTCTAGTATAAGTCTAAACTAGGTTTCACTTCCTTCTCTTTCTTTAAAAGGTCAACTCACACTATACTAGTCTTATTGCTTTTCTTATTTATATGTATTCTATTAATATATACCATTATAATATATACATTTTTGCATGATGGTGACATGTATTAGGTAATGTTATAACTGCATTTTGTCTCATTTATGAATGCTCTGTTTCTTCACTAAGACTGTGACTTTTCAGATAGAATTCTGAGCTAAATGGGATATAGGTCTGAACTGACACATCTCATTTTGTATTCTATAGTATGTATCCAATGAAAAGAACCTTCTCTACTTCTTTTTGTAGAATCTACAACATCTTATGATATTGGAAGACATCAAAAGAGGAATATAAGGAATGAACATACTGAATGAATGCAATGCTTACCTAATATTGAAGATCTAAGCATAGCATAAATGCGGTCTATTAATGGCTATGAATTTACCAGGAGGGAAATGCCAAATCCTTCGGTATATTAATCAAACAGAAGTTGAAATTATGTTTCACAGTAAAAAAAGATTTTAAAAATGAATTTTAAAGAAGACTAAGAAACTCTATTGGCAACTCAGAAGTATAAGCAGTTTAGTCTCTTGACACAGACTAGGTACTCTATGAATGGAAATTATGTCCTATATTACACACCTCCATTTGGAAATCTGCTCTAGGTATCTGAGTATCTATAACTGGATAAAATTTTACACCCATAAAGACCCCATTAAGCAGCTCTCCATAACTAGGTGAGAAAGAGCCTTAGGGTATATTGGTATATTTTGAGACATACCTATACTGCCTACTTGGTATATTGTGAGAAAGAGCCTCATGTCTCTTTCTCAGGGGCAGATGAAAGAAATCCCTCTGTCTCTTGTTGAGAGATATTAAGTTTACGAATATTGATGAATACCGAGTGTATAGTAGAATATATCGTTTGCTAGGAAGCATGACGGCAAGGAAAACCTAGCCGACCCCCTGCCTAAGTGGAAAACCATTTGGGGCATTCCAAAGTGGCAGGACAATGTATAAATATCATACACCAGTTAAAACAATTCTTTGAGATATCTGACCCTGCCCCCGTGGCTCCCTCAAGGAGAATACCTTTTAGTTTGTCTGTAGTCAGTGGTAAGCGGGTAACAGCTGCCCACTTGGTATATTGTTGCGTTATGAGAAAATATAGAACACCTGTTTCTTAATAATAATCACCTGTTAAGAGAGAATAAATAAGTGGATCAGGATCCGCTTGGGGCCTTCAGCTTGGAATGCTGTCAGCCCCCGAGGCTCTCAGTTCAGAAGGCTGCTGGCTCCCGGGATAGACCCACTTTGCTGTTCTATCTGGGTGTATGCCTCTCATTTCCTTCAGCGCCGCCTGGGTGACAGTCTCTTCGGCTGGTAATCTCTGTGATACCTGGCTTAAGACTATGGGACTCCTATGATCCTACTGTACTTACTCAACTCACTGGACAGATAGCACTCCCAGATGACAACACTTTGAAGGTTCCATGTTTTATGTCAAGTACCAAAAACACAATTTTATTTCTCAATATTTAGTTTATGACAACAATATAAATAGAAACACTTAGACAAAGCAGAAGTTTAACGTCCTGAATTACATGGTTACAATGTAGAAACACAAACAGATTTAAATCAAGGGTTGTGAGCATATTACATCTTTCTCAAATTAAGACAAGTCTGGCATGCTACGACATTCCATGTCAGATGATCTATACTCATAGACCATTAATATATAATAGAAATTTAAAAATGCTTTACCATTTACAGAGTTGTAGAATACTGCTCTTGTGCTCTTCACGCTGCTGGCACTGCCCACAGAGCCTCCAACATCCCATAATTCTATGTAGTACGTCTTCTCTTCTGGGGTTCCTTCTTTGTAATCATGAACCTAACAAATCAATCAATTAAAATAATTATTACAGCCACTGAACTGGTTAGCACCTTCATTCCATTTTAAAACATTTCAGCATCTTACTCTTTCTGATCACTACCATTTTTTAAGCTTCCTCTCTTTAATTCTTTAATAATATTGACTCTAGAGGATCTTACAGTTAATTGATCTTAACGTCTTTCACAGCTCTCTGTTCCACTTCCAAAGCCTCACCTACTTCCTAACTAAGCATAAATTCCATGATCCATCATTACTGTCATTCCTTTGCCCCTCTCTCACATTGCACTCCTCTGACAAAATTCTACTCTTGGTTATATCCACCTTTTACCCTCTTCCATGTCTACAACCCAGCAACTGAATGTGGAGCTCAGAAAAATATGCATTCAAGATGGATAGATACTTTCTAAATTTAAGTGTACCTTTGGACCTGTCCTTTAATCGGTTCCACAGTTAATTTACCATTTTCCTCTTCCAGATAACTACTTTATACTTTTTCCTCTTTTTAAACTTCCAATATCTCTTCCCCATCCTCAATTACAACTTTGCTTCCTAATGCAGCAGCTATTAGAAAAGAACTTCTACAACCTGTTCTTCCTGTATCTACTCACCTCCCTCCATCTGTGCCCACATAATCTGCTTTCCTTCTTGCTGTTTTCTTAGGCTGCCTGTGTCCCTAAGGCTAAATCCTCCTCCTGTGCATGAAATCCCATCCCTACTTTCTTGCTCAAAGATGTAATTCCACCAGTTCTCCCCTCTCTCCATTATATCATCAAATTTTCCTTCTCAGCTGGATAATTCTCACCATGCAATTCAATTCTCAGCATACAAACATGCCATAAATTTTCTCATCTAAAAAAACCCTTCTCTTGACTTCAAGTCCTCTTCCAGTTACCAAACCACTTTCCTTTTCAACAGCAAAAGTCCTCCAAAGAGTTTTCTATTCTTAGTGGTAATTCTTTTATTCATATTCTCTTTTGAACTCATTTCTATCACTAAACTATTCCTTGTCAAGGTCACCAATGACCTTCACACTGCTAATTCCAATGGTCAATGAACAGTTTTCATTTTACTCCCCTATCTGATGCAACTAATCACTTCTTGTGCCTTGCAATACTTTCTTCACCTGGCTTCCAGGATATCACATTGTTCCAGTTTTTTTCCTATCTCATTGGCTAGTGCTTTTCAGCTTCCATTTGGGTTCTCCTTATCTCTCTGATTCTAAATGCTAAAGTTTCAAGATTTAGTTCTTCAATCTCTTTTCTTCTTTATCAATACTTGCTCTTGTGGGAATTTCATCTAAAAGGCAATTTTCTTCTTCCAGTTACTTGGGCCAAAAACTTAAGATTGATCCTTGACTCCTTTCATATTGCATTTGTCAACAAGCTCTATTATTTTAACTTTAAAAATATGTCAAAAATCTGTTTCTTTCTCCCTACCTCCACTATTACCACCCAGGTCAAAGCCTCTATCTCCTTGTATGAATTGATGTAATGGTCTGCTAACTGATCTCCCTACTAGAGGCATCCCCCAACCTCCCTGTTTGTTTTCCATACAGTAGCTAGAGTATCCTTTTAAAATACAAATTATATCATATGCCCTTTTGCTCAAAACCCTCCAATGACTTTCTCACTCACAGTTATCTCCAAAGTCTCTCTTTTTCTCATGTCTAGGCTCTAGAAGCATTTATTGCCTGTACTGTATAACTATTCAGAAACAAATTACGATAGATGGCAAGCAGATTAAAGTATGCTGGTTCATGAATATAGATCAGCATCTTCCAAAAATTAAAAAAAAAATTTTTTTAAAGAAATATACATGCCAATCTTACTGAATCAGGACCCTTGGGATCAAATACTAGGTACATGTATTTTGAACAATTCTCCAAATGACTCTGCTGTAAACCCCTCATTAAGAACTGCTGCTTTTGGCCGGGCGCGGTGGCTCACGCCTGTAATCCCAGCACTTTGGGAGGCCGAGGCGGGTGGATCACGAGGTCAAGAGATCGACGCCATCCTGGTCAACATGGCGAAACCCCGTCTCTACTAAAAATACAAAAAAAAATTAGCTGGGCATGGTGGCGCGTGCCTGTAATCCCAGCTACTCAGGAGGCTGAGGCAGGAGAATTGCCTGAACCCAGGAGACGGAGGTTGCGGTGAGCCGAGATCGCGCCATTGCACTGCAGCCTGGGTAACAAGAGCGGAACTCCGTCTCAAAAACAAAACAAACAAACAAAAAAAACTGCTGCTTTTATGGAATGGGACTATTCTGGTATTGGCAGGACTAGATTCTACTCCTTGATTGCCACTGATCATCCCTGGTATCTTGGAGCCTCAGTTTCTTTGCCTATAAAATGAAAGAGTTGTAATATGTGATTTCTAAAGTATCTATTGGCTTTTACATAATAATTTAAAAAACAAGGTAGCTCAGTAGTTAAAATAAATGCCTGTCACAAAATGCACTAAAACTCAAATACTATATTCTACTTAATGCTTTACACTTTTACTTATTCACAATTTTTTGTCCAAAGCCAAGTAAAAATTTAAATAAATATGCTACTCTATAAACAGCCACATTGACATTAACAAGATGATTATCAGACTGACATCAAAGACAATGTGATAGAAAATGAGAATAGCACAGTCACAGTAGTTGGGGACCATTTGGGATAACAGAAATTAATTCTGTATACTACAATAGAAGGCATCACTATTTTGTTATATGGCAAAAATATACGTGATCATGCCAAGTCAGCAATAAAAAAAAGTTAAATCAAGCAGAAAAAACATGTTTTAGCAAGATTTCCAAGCAAAACAATGAGAAAAAACAGTATGAGGTATTATAAGGAGTAAGTAATCTATCTGTTACAAAAAAGCTCAGGCACTTCAGTGAAGTTTTCCTGATCCTACCTTTCTTCTGGGCCCAAATCAACCAGAGCAGGTTTGGTACTCCTCCTATTTGCTTCCATAGCATCCTACACACCTCTATCATTTCATTAAGCACACTGCCTTATTTATCTACTGATATCTTTTCTTCTAGACTCTGAGTGTAAGGGCCGGGACCATGTATTATTCATCCTTTAGCCCTAGAAAACAGCATAATATCTAGCATACATTACATGCTTGGACATGTTTGTTAAATAAATGAATAAATTTAGAATAACTCATCCTCCAGGTTTTTTATTATATTCAGTTTATTATCTAACAAATTCCAGTGTTTCTCCAGTACAATTCTGAGAGCAAACTAAATCAAAACCAGTAAGAAGTTTGTTAAAAAAAAAATACAGGGCTGGGCGCGGTGGCTCAAGCCTGTAATCCTAGCACTTTGGGAGGCCGAGGCAGGTGGATCACGAGGTCAAGAGATCGAGACCATCCTGGTCAACATGGTGAAACCCCGTCTCTACTAAAAATACAAAAAATTAGCTGGGCATGGTGGTGCGTGCCTGTAATCCCGGCTAATCAGGAGGCTGAGGCAGGAGAATTGCCTGAACCCAGGAGGCGGAGGTTGCGGTGAGCCGAGATCGCGCCATTGCACTCCAGCCTGGGTAACATGAGTGAAACTCCGTCTCAAAAAAAAAAAAAAAAAAAAAAAAAAATACAGATTCCTGGACTATCCTTGAAGCTTCGGGGATGGGGCTCAAAAGTCTGTATTTTTTTGTTTGTTTCCTTGGTGAGTCTAATACATGATTAAGTTTGGCAACCACTACGCTGCACCATTTTTTTCTCTGAATTATTTCAAATGTCTAATGTTGCCTTTTCAAAAACACTGTAACTCCTTTGAGAACAGCTACCATCCAATATAAATTTCTAGGGAGCATACCCTCTTAGCCTTGCATTGTATCAAGCCTGTTAGCCAGCATCTTTCAGGCTATACATACTTCCAATCCAGACTGACTCACTCATCTATACTCTTCTCTATCACAAATTACCTTTCCTAGTCAAATCTTTTCCTGTTTCCTTTTAAAATCAGAAGATTGTCCTCCTTCCTTTCCAACTTAATACTGGCTAAGTTTAACCCAATTCACATGGAATGAATCCCAAAAACTTTAAATCAGTAGCTTATAGCTTGTAATTATGATGTTACATCTTTCACATGTGAGAGTAATCTCCAAGGGAAAGCTTGACATTATAACAAGTATTGCTCTTGACACAGTAAGTAGTACTTTGGTGCTATACCAAGAACCCAAGATGATGGGGGGTAATGCCAAACTATAAGAAATGTGTTTTATATTTAAATCAGGTCATCAAGGATGTGATACTTAAAGTCATTATGGACCTTACAGCTATACAATAAAGGACTTTCTTAACAGGAAGCAACAGTACAGCTGATCATCAAATGGAAAAAGGAACAATACTCAATGTTGCTGCCACTTTGGACCTTGTCATTTATTCAGCTTTTGACTTTTTCTTGAAAACCAAATCAAGACCTATGTACATAAGGTTTTATTTCATTTGAAGAGTTCATTGTTTGTAATTTTTAAAAAGCAAAAACACATTTAGAAAAAAAATGATACATATCAAGAAAGAACAGTGGATATTGTAGATACTAATAAGTTTGGTTTAGTATTTGTACCTGCAGAATCATTATTAAAGAGAGGAAGGAAGGTAGGAGGTCTTAGGAGGGAGTTGGAAACAAAGAGAGAAGGGTGAAAAAGAGCAACTAGCAGAATACACCATGGGAGCAGAAATTAATTTCTCTCATTCACTGCTATACTTTCAGTTCCTTGCACAGTATCTGATACCAAGGAGGTACGCAACATGTGTATTGAAGGAACAAATGAACAAATGAATAGTGTTAAGGTTACTGCTAACTGTCTCTTCCCTTCTAGTTACTGGTCTTTTGCCTTCAGTCAAGCTTATTTTTTTCTATTAAAAAAAAGCCCTTCACTTTCCTTTCCATTCTGTACCCATTTGAAAAAGTGACTTAAACCTCTGTCTTTATTCTGCCACAGATATTCCACTGCACTTTTAAAGGTCAGCACAGACTTTATTATCACCATA